GAATAAAGAAACTGGCGATAACTAACTTATAGTTTCAATTGTTGTACTTAATGCACTGTTATCACGTAATTTTAGTTTTCAGTAATTAAGTGCATAATCCGCTGTAGCTGCTTGTTATGGGGCTTCCCAGCGGTTTCTGATTCCAATGTCTGTTGTTTCTTAAAATGAAACTGATTGTATTAGGAATAATGGGATAAGTTTATCAGACAATATTGATTAAGTTGTTAGATGGGATGTCTTCCCTCGCAGCTTTTTAAAGACATATTTTGGTAATCAAAATCTTGTTTTTTTTTTTTAGCATTCTAAATTTGTAGGTTCTTTACGCCTCGACGAAAAGTTTCATCAACGTCCTTATTTTTTCAATCCATGCCTTACAAAGTTGATCCTAAAACTGGTTGCATCGATTACAATCAGTTGGAGTGCACTGCACTATTGTTTCGTCCAAATATTATTATAGCAGGTAAGTTCAGTTTTTCATCATTTCGATATCATGCTGTATACGGTCGACACACCGAATTTTTATGTTTTTCCTACAAAATCCACTGATTTTCTATGGTGCGATGTTAAGGCTATGGTTTTTATAAAAACAGTATGGATAGCAAAATTGGAAGTTTTTAAGCCCTCAGTAACATTCGCATTCCATGATTTCCAGGAACAAGTTGTTATTCACGCTTACTGGATTATAGGCGCTTCCGTGAGATAGCTGAGAAATGTGGTGCTTATTTGTTGGCTGATATGGCACATATCTCGGGCCTAGTTGCGGCGAATATGATTCCATCACCTTTTGATCATGCTGATGTTGTTACAACAACAACCCATAAATCACTTCGAGGTCCTCGTGGAGCGTTGATTTTTTACAGAAAAGGTTATCACTTTTGTTATTGCACTCTTATTTTATTTCTTAATGTGCATAAGTTAATTAAATTCTGAAAGTTGTAATAATGATAATCTTCCCTGTAAAAAAAACCAACTCATGTGCCATTTAGGTTTAAAAAAAATAACTGCAAAAGGTGAAAAAATAATGTACGATTTGGAACGGAGAATAGATTCTGCCGTATTTCCAGGATTGCAAGGAGGACCTCATAATCATACAATAGCCGGTTGGTTCAATTTAGATTCTACTTTTGAATATGCTTCAGATTCCTAGTAATGATGTTTTCTGAAATCAGATTTTTATCTTCAAGTTATTGTTATCGTCACTTTATTCAACAGTTATTATTTTGTTACTGCCTGAATGCAGACCTCTGCTAATACTTAACGCTTATTTTTAATTGTCAGTGGTTGAGAAAGAGAGGAAATTTTGCTTATATCATCTATTTTAGGCATTGCTGTTGCATTAAATCAATGCCTTACGGAAGATTTTGTTGAATACTCCAAACAAATTTTGGCAAATTGTCAAGCACTTGCAAATAGGTTGATGGAACTTGGTTATACTTTGGTTACAGGTTATTTTTATTCGTTCGTTTATTAGTAAGGTGAATGCAGCGGTACATTAAGCAAATAAGGCAATAAGTTTGACGTTGTTTAAAGTTTTATTATTTGTATTAATATATTAGGGATGCTTATATATATATGGTATTTACTACCACTAGAAATTATTTTGACTTCTACGAATTCATGATTTTACAATTACTCCTTTAATTGTTTATTTCATCCAATATATAAAATGCTAAAGATTATATGCACATTCACCAACTCTTCGAGAAATTCTTTGTCTTATGGAAATGGTGGACTTCTAGTCTAACAAGTGTTTTGTTAATTTATGATTCTTACTTTTTAATTAAATGGTCAGCTACTCATTTTGTGATTCTCTAAAAAATGGACATACTTTAATCGGCATAGCAATAGGGATTCATGTTTTTCTCAAAAAATTAAACATTTGAAAATCGGATGAAATGATCCAGACAACTGTGAAGTATGAGCATTTTGAACCGTTTTTATGACCATCCCACAGCTGGTTGTGAAATCTGTTCAGCATATAGGTACTTTGGGCAATTTAATAAGTTCTTCATTCTTGTTTTCTGTTTTCTTGACTGTTTAGCTATCATTCAGTTATCCCATAACTACGACAATCTGATATCCCTACAAATCTTTTGTAGAAAATATTGATTGTTTCCTTTTTTTCTGGAGGCGCTCGAAAAATGGTCATACTAATGGTTGTTGTTATTATATCTCCAGTTTATTTCTTTTCAGAAAGACGAGCTTTTTCTTTTTCCTCATGCATATGAAGTCTCTCTTCCCTTATTATTCTCCATTCATTGAAGAAGTTAGTAAACTGTTTGCTTCTTCCTTTAGCGAAAGAGGAAGGAATACGAATTTTTAAGTTTCATATTAAGTGTTTCTTTTAAAGAAATTTTCAACAAAGCTAAAGGTTTCTTTACTGGCTTCTCTGTCATTCTTTGTCATAGCAGCTGATTCAATATTTGGAAAAGTTTAGCTTTGCTTTAATGCCACGTTTTTAATATTAAATGGTACCTGCTTTCTTTGCCAAAAAATCATGGTCAGTTGCGCAAAAAGATACGAGCTAAAAAGTATCGTCATCAAAGTTTTCTAAGACACCAGATATTATTTGCTTTTTATCGAATTGTTGATCTTATTTATCTGAATTTTATTCGTTTTATGCAGAGTTCAATTGATTTGTCATTTTAGATAAGATTTTTCTTTAGGTGGAACTGATACTCATCTCTGTTTGGTAGATTTGCGTCCAAAAAATTTGGATGGTGAGAAAGTGGAACATGTACTCGATTTAGCTCATATTATCTGCAATCGTAATACTTGTCCAGGTCAATGTTTTCAAGTTGGAGTTATGAGAAATAGATTGCCATTTTATCAGTTTCTGTTGGAAGCACTGATACTATGCGGTGCAAAGCCAAAAATTAGAAAATTTTTTTTGGTGAATGTTATGCTAATCTTACCATTCGAAGTCTAAAACTATTGTGGTATAATGTTACAGTTTATGTTGGTTGCTCGATTTCAGGAGACCAGAGCGCTCTACATCCGAGCGGGATACGTCTTGGAACACCAGCTCTTACTACTCGAGGAATGAAAGAAAATGATTTCATTAGAGTTGCTGATTTTATTCATGAAGGTAATAGGTTTTGTTTATTTATTTTTTGTATTTTTTTTCCTTTTCTTTTTTTGTTTGGTTTAGCTGTATGCAAATTCTGTAAATAGTTTAATAGCAATTACGATTTTAAATAATTAAGAAGCCACTTCTGTGCTTCTGCATAATATCACTTGAATATTGCGCAATTATGTTTACAGGAGTGGAAATTTTGGTGAAGTATCAATCACAGGTAGGTAAAACGCTCAAGGATTTGATAGCGTTTACCAGCTCAAATGAACAGTTTATGGCAGATATTGATAAATTAGGGAAAAAAGTCAAGAAGTTCGCTAACCAGTTCGATATGCCTGGGAACGATGATATTTAAAAATGAGTAGGCATTAATTCTGTGTGTTTTTTAAATTTTATTCATGTTCTGTTTTAAGCAAAGTATTATTACATGAAGATTAAATAATGAAATACATTCCTCATTCATGTATTAGTAAATTTTGACATTTTTCGATGTTATGTTATGTAGTTTTCTGAAGGGTCATTCATTTTTTAAAACGGTATTATTTTGATTGAAGCCGCTTTTTTTGAAATTACCGTTGAAAGAGTCCTTGTCGGCCATAATTTAAAAGCCAAGCGATTAGTTTTTTTAAAATTAGTAAATTTCTAAGTTGTTATATTCAAATTTGCATTTTTTCTAAGTCTTGGAAAAGTGTGACGTCCATATTTTTTTAGTCTGCAGATAGCGTTGAAATTACGTTGTTCATTAATAGAAGCTTCTGATCACTAATTACTCTGTAATTGTGATAGTTTTTCATTTTTTTCAGATATTACTTTTTAATGCTTGTTATATTTTTCTTTTTGATAATCAATAAATTCTTCCTTTCCGTATTGCTCGATTTTTTTAAGCATTCATGATCGATCATTGCAATTTCTGAGCTTTTGTGAAGTGATCAATCATTTCAATTTCTGGAATTTTGTCTTTATACATATCGAAATACATCAGTGCATATAATATAGTAAAAAAGATTGCGGATAAATAGACTCTAAACTGTATTATATTCAACAGAACAAATTAGGTGTTGTTCCTCTTTTGATTTCTTAGAAATAATCGAACATACTTCTTGCAATGCACATTAAAAGGAGCGGAGTGTGTTCCATGTACATCATTCAAAAGTATTATTCAAATTAGGGGCAGAAATTTGAAATAATTCCAGGGATTGCAATTCAATGTATTCGCTAAGCGATCGTAATGAACAAACGTTGATTGTAATTGAAACTAGATGATTTAGAGTAGATAAGCTTAAAGTAATTGCATCTGAACAATTATATCACAAAAAAGTAACACAAACAAACCTGAAATTAAACTTGAAACAAAGGTTTTAACAAGAAACTTTGAGATGTGATGTAATAAATGGCATACATTTGTTCTTCCATCTGTTCCGGCATCTCTTATCCACTACTCTTCTCACTTTCTTATCACTAAGTGGTGCATTCGATTGTTTGAAAAAATCATCAAGTTTCTCATCTTATTTAGCATCAATTTTTTAGTCTTATCGAATTGTTAATAGCCATCTTATAGCTTAGATTGAAATTGGTAATTTTGACAATGCAGAAATGGATGGTGAGAAACGTGGATAACTATTAGGGATCAAAACCGGTCATATTTCGCGGTTTGGAAAGATTTTATCTGAAAATTTCCGGAATCTTTTTCATTCTTAATTTTTTCTTTTTTTCTTGGAGGAGAAGATGAATTTGGCAGCAAGCAAATGAATTTATGACAGATTCTTCCAACGTGAAGTTATCACTTTCAAATAACTGTTAATAAGTGTTAAGATTTTATAAAAAGATTACGAATAATACACATAAATAATATACTTACGTCTGAATAATAAACGTGCGTCATTTTAGAGCCATTACGTTGTTTGATATTTTAAACAACTGAAAAATGTCTATTACTATACTGTTTATATTTTTTGAAATAGTAAACGTTCAATCTGAGAGGGAATATCAGGCAATAGTGAATGCAAGGCAGAATCCATATCATAGCCAAAATTCGCAATCATTCCAACAAGTGAGCTAATTTCTTTTCACGGCAATAAATTACAGTTAAAGTTCGTTAATGTTTTTGTGGGATTATTTATCCCTCCGTCTTCTTCCATACTTTTCTCTCCTTTCTAAGGTTTCAGAAATCTTTGTTAAATTTGTAAAGTTTATTTTCTTAATTGAAAATTATTTTCCTCCATTGAAGATTGCGAATTAAACATTTTCAGTCACGGGATGATGGTGCTCTCAGTGTGATTTCAGGATATCAACAATCCATCGATCGTTATGATCCAACAACAACTACGGGTTACATTTCATTTTCTACTTCTTTTTCCGCTAAATTTAAATTAATCTCATTGATAACTGATCATTTCTTACTTCTGCCGCTCCTTTTCTTTTCATTTTCTATTTTTGAAAGAATTGAAAATGAAGTAAAGGAAAAATTTAAAACATATCTTATATATTTTAGCCTGTAATCCTGGTGACATAGCACCAACTGGTGATGATTGCGCTGCTTTTTATGAATGTATCAATGGACATTACAAATTGCGCTTTTGTCCAAGTAACACATTCTTCAACCCAACAGTGAGTTTTATTTGAATCGATAAGTTAATGATCTTTAACAATAAGAAATTCTTCATCGCTACAGTATAACATTAGCAACTTGATCTTAATTTTTAAATTTTGAAATCAGGATTAAAATTTTAGTTGAAGCGTTGTCATGCGAACTACGTTTGTCCCAAACGAACATATGAATCGCCAACTTCTCCGCTACCACCCTGCAAGTATGGTGAATTGCGGGCTGATGCAACAAGCTGCCGGAATTACTACTCCTGTGCTGATAATGATCGTCATTTCGAACGTCGAGTCTGTCCTGATGGTAAGATATTCAATCGTACGCTGAATCGATGTGTCTCTCATGCCGCGGGAAACAAATGTCAACAATCAATTCAACATGATTTTGAATCGAGAAATATTGCTATGGGATTAGCGTGCACTGTAAGTTAACTATGTTATCAATCTGTTATTAAATATTCTTAGATATAATATATACAAACATTCCAAAGAATATCCAAACATATGTTTTTTTCTGCAATTGTTGAAGAAGTTGCAGAAAAAGTTCATTTTTGTTTTATTCATTTCCTTTTTAGTTCATTTTTCTCCTTCATCGAAAAATTTCAGGAAAGTAGTGATTCATCAGGCTATAATGCTGATCCAACCGATTGTCGACGATATTATCAATGCGCGCAGGGACGATGGATTAGGATGCAATGTCCCAGTAATTTGGTATGGAATCCGGCAGCAACAGTTTGTGATTGGCCCAAAAATACATTACTTTCCTGCCATTGAACAAAATTCTTTTTTTCAATCGATTTCTCTTTTTCTTTTTCAGAGTAAATATAATCAGTTTGGTTTAATTAGACTTACGATTTTTGCAATGTATAAGATTATATATATATCGATATGGGAGAGTGCATGTCTGACGGTCATTGTCTTTCCATTATATCTCTATAAAGGTGTATATGTGTATATATTTGAAACATATTATCATGACAAATAGAACAAAGCAAGTCTAATAAGGCCTTTTCCAAATGCGATTCTCTACGCCTTACAAGTCGATCTCATCTCCGCTTCAGCCTAATGCAACCCGTTAATTTAAGGAGAAAAGGAAAACATACCTATTGATACATATGTAGTTCAAAAGAAAGATCTCGTGATTCCTAATTTTTTACACAATGATCATCCTATCCGTGATATTTATCGATCTATGTCCAGAAATGCATACTCAGTTAGTTATCGTCGGAATTTTTGCTGCTACGAACTTCGTTTGATAAATCAAAATTATATTTCATTAAATTTTTTACAAAAATTTTTGTAATTTAATTTTTCATGCTTTTTTGAAAAATATTTTCATATGATAAGAATACTTCTTTCAATTAAAATATGCTAAAAATGAAATGGAAAAAGAAAAATGGTAAAGTTTGGAAGACGATAACAGTATTTATGAATGACATGACCTTAGTGAGATAGTTGCTTGACCTCATTTTATTTATTGCATTAGCAATCAAGCAAATCTGAAAATTATGCCGAATTTTCCATAATTAAATGAAATTAAGATTTAATGAGCTTAAAATGATTACATTACAGAATATTGTTGTGGAAAAAATCGAAGTCCTTGAACAACACAATCTAAAGAAAGGCACTGCTAATGCTCACCTGCTTAATCACTGGCAATTTTTTGGAATTGTTGAAGCAAGCAGAGAGAAAGAGAGAGAGAAAAAGGGAAGGTTAGAAGGGTGAGAGAGTAAAAGAAAGGGGATGTTTTCAAAAGGGAGTGAAGACTTGAATGAAAAGTTAAAATCAAGAGGAGAGGGAAGGGAAGTTTTTAGAGAAAAAGAGAGAGGGAGGGCGAGAGAAAAAAGACGAAAATGAATGTAACTTCTGGCATGACCTATAGGGAATCCTTGTCTAGCAGAGCCAGACTGGCAAAGAATATTTAAGAATTTGAAGTTGTTTACGAATTTCAGAGATTGCAAGAAAAAGTGAAGTGTATTTGATGACGAGAAAAATAGGAAGTGAAAGGGAGATTCTCTTCCTCTCCTTGCCTAGCCCTTCCTCTCTCTCTGAGTTGCCCCCTTTCAATTACTTTTGCAAAGGATTGGATGTACATTTCAACAACAGGACGCACCCTTTCCTACTTCGTAATGTTACTGCTACTGGTAGTAATCACGTATGTGTACGTCTGTATCATACGTGTTTTTGTATTCTGTATATGAATTGTTTTAAAGATGCTCAGTTTTCCTTTTTCGAAGTGTAACATACGATTGAATGTTTGTCTTCAAAGATAATAGACATTAGGCATTAAAAATGTAATTGATGAAAGAATAAATCGAAATTTTAGCAATTCGAAAAGTCTCAATCTATTGTTGATTGAATAAAGACTGGTAGAATAGTCCGAGAAGATATTTCTTATTTAAAATTATCCAACTTAGTGATCAAAATTCTCATATATTTTTAGAGAAATTCCAATCTGTGTTACATTTTTGAATGGTAGATTAAAATTGAGAGAAATTTTGGTTGCTTATGCGACGTCCTGCAAAACATTCAGCAGCTTCACCACTACCATCTACAACTGCCGCATCAACATCCAAAACAACTAATGCCATAACGAAAACAGGATATAAAATGGCTTGGAAAAACGCGGTAATTATTTCATTTAATTTGAAATTTTCATTTTCATTAGTTACTATCATTTTTGAATTCATAAAAAGAAATGTTACTTTGCGCTATTTGTAATTTTAAAAATTAATTAAATATGTTGTTTAAATTTGGTAAGGAAAGAAATTAATTTTCACTTTGAGAGGACGAAGTTTTTTTTTCATCTTTGAAAATACGAGGGAGAGAGAGAGAGAGAGAGAGAGAGAGAGAAAAAGATGGGGGATAAGAAGTAAGGAAATGAGGGATTTGGGAAATTTCGGAACAGAATAGAGAACAATTCGATTTTAAAGAAAAAAACGAATCAACTGATCCATTGACTTCATGAAGTGTGAAGAAATTACTGAGACCGTATATAAAGCTACTAAATTTGCATAAGACTGCACCCCTTATACTGCTTTCTTGCTCTTTCCTCTAACTGCATGAATTACTCCACGCACTTTCCTTTTCCTTCCATTTATCCTTACTTACCTAATCATAAATTCCCGATTGCGGTTGATAATATTTTTATTTTAGCCATCTATCATACTATTTCAATTTCACCGGGATTTCTTATGCTCTTTTCCATTGGGATCTTCATTTCTTTCGCTGTACTGAAACTTTTGGTGGAGCATCAGGAATTATAGATTGTCGGATTCACTTTCTCGATGACAGTAAGGAATAGAGGCCCTAGGGAATAGAAAGTTTTGTTGCCTTTTGATGAAATCTTTTTAAAAAAATTCATATCATGCATCAATTTATAAAGTTACCCTTTTGTTTAGGTTTTAAAAATTGAGAAACAAAAATTGGTGGAATCAGTTGCTGATAATCCGGAGAACCGAAAAGCCGGAAAGGCTGCGGTGATTGATGACGATTCTTCTAGAGCGGTATATTTAAAAACATTACAAAACTTTATAACTAATCCTACTATCTTCTTGCTTTGATTTTTTTCCACACTCCCAATAGTCTTGAAATCATTTACTTATTTAATAACTTTCAGGAAATAATTCCATTATTTCGAGATTAAAGTTGATGATAATTTCAGTTAAACCCTTCAAAATCAATTTACTCTTTTCTTCAGCACCCAAGTAAGTCATCGCTGTTGAGCAAGAAGAAATCGATCTCGAAGATGGGGAAGCGCGCCAGAACATCTTTTTTTGATTCTCCTCAAACTAAGGTAATGTTTGTAACTTCAGTATTTAATAGCGGTTTTAGAATTTAAAAATATTTGGAAAGATTACTACAGTTTTTATGTATGGCTGCTGTAGATATCAGTTCTGCTTTTCGTCCCTTTGAACACATTATTACTTCTTAGCTAGAAACTATTCCTACTCATTTTTATTTCTCTCTTTCTTTTTTTATTATATTTTTTCTAAGCGCTCTTTACAAATAACCTCAGAGTTATTACTTTCATTACTTTATGCTTGAATTTCACGAAGGAATCTAGTTGAGATTCAATTTCAGACTGCAAAACGGGTCAAATCTCCTATTAAAAGTGATGCTGAAATATCTCCTAATTCTGAAATGAATGATGGCGAGAAAAGTGTGAGTAATTTGGGATCTTTTCTCACTTAATATGATAAATTAAGTTTGATGTCATTTTGTAAATTTTTAATAAATTAAGTTTTAAATCATTGAAAGTTAATGCATTTTATTAAAATTTTTTTCAAAATGAAAACCGTCATTATTCTACATTGCGGTTTAAAAGTGCGAGATCTGTTTAAACAGGATTTCCCCTCTTTTTTTTTAATTGCCATGAATTTGTGAAATTGAGGAAAATATTAAATTTAATTAAATTTTAGAATAACAATGCATATGAAGTTGCTGACCAGAATGATTTTGCTCAAAATTCGTCAACTTCTTCAATTAGTTCCCCGATGGTTCCACAATCGTTTTGTAAAGAAGAGGGGCAATCAGGAACTGATGAGCCAGTATCGTTTGTGAATTCATCGATTTCTTCACAACTTTGTTCATGTAAGCAGAGGCTTTATATTGGAATAACTGAGCCTACATTTTTCAATTTGCTTCACTTTTCTAACTGGAATAGTTTGAAACTAAATTTCAGGAAATGTTTATCTCCTGTTTTTAATTACGAAATGTGAATACTTTAAGGTTTAACTGTAACGCAACCATCAGTTGACGGTTCGAATAAAAGAGTGGAGACTTTAAACGAAGAAGCAGAAAATTTATTAGAGGAGACTGAAATGTTGGAATGCAGGTAGCTAATTTCAATATGTGCTCAGTACTGAAAGAAATATAGCATACCGTACAAACGTAATGGTCTACTTATAGTGAGATTTTGCAGCACAACAGCAAAAAGCATCAGAGAGTTGTGCGAAGAAGAGAAACACATGATTTTGGCTGATTTTGATGCAGGGATGTTACCGCATGAAATCGAAGAGAAGTATGGAGTAAGCAAATTACAGGTATTTTGAAAATAAATAATTAAAGATAAATTCATCAACTTAAATAAAAATTGAACGAATCCGATTATGGACTTAATTGTAGATTTTATTAAAGTGCCAAGTATGCACTTACTAATGTGCTATCATTGAATAAATTAAAACTCATCTGCAAGCAAATAAGCATGTTTGTTTGTAGATCGCTGATGTACTGTCAAATCGTATTTCTATATTTCGTACTAATTGGTCTGACCTATTCACCTTAAAACGCCGTCGTACTGTTTATGTGCGTTTGAATATGCAAATGTGGAACTTTTTTTGCCAGTGCCGGGATCAAAAAATCTGGCTCAATGGTCGACAGCTAAAAGAACAGGCTTTGAAAATAGCCCATGAATTAGGTGAATTTAAATACTCTGAAGAAGTTTACGAGTAGTGAAGTTCTGGCTTCTGCTTTGGTCTGTTTTTGTCAGCTGTTGAAGAAACTAATCTGAAAGAAAGAAGGAATTACAAAGAAAGATGCATTATCACACTGATCTTCAAGTTCGATAATATATTTTGTTCTGTTGGAAAATCTTTCTAATGACTCTTATCATTGAATCCAGAAGGCTCGTTAAGCACTCAAATAGTTTTAGGTCTACACAGTTTTAAAGCCTCCGAGGGTTGGTTGGATTCATTCAAAAGGCGTCATTGTATTGATCTCAAGACGATGACTGGGAAGCCTGTGATTTACGAAGCAGATCCTGAAGAAGCGAATTCTATAAATGATGGCTTGGAAATAAAAATCTGTATTTTTCTTTTCAGGAATTTTCTAAATATAGTATGATAATTGCTTTTTTTATCTCAGTTATTTTCATTATTCACTGCAGTTTATGTTTGCATTTTCAAATGTCCTTATATCAAAATTTAAGTTAATTACAACTAATATCAGATTGTTCTCTCATACGATTTTTGAAATGGTTTTCAATTTGAAATATTTTTTTTGCTAAAAGAGTCATGTAGAACAGTTATCCGGAATATTTTTTTAGAATCTGTATGAGCATTATAAGCACTTATTTGATATTCACATTCATTTCTGAAGTTTAAATTTTTTCAGCTCGATCAACAACTCCGAGTCCGAATCTGACTCGAGACACCAATTCGCTATCCGCTGTGCTAGATGCAAATAAATTCTTGATGGATGCGGCAGATGCTGCTGTTCTTGCTTCAGCTGATGGATCTGATAGTGGTATAGGTTGGCATGAAAACTTATTTATAGTCATAGTCTGCTTTGTTTTCAAATTGATTTATGATATTCTTAACCATCATATATTTCATATAATGTATATGAGTAAAGGCATGCAGAATATAATATTCATAGTACTGAAAACTTGTTTCCATACGTTTAGTGAATTTCGTTCTTCGAAGAAGAAATCCTTCGAAATGTTTTGTAAATCATTTAATTTTTTTGTGCAGTGACAAGTCCAACTCAGGCGACAGCAGCAATTCGGACGACCAGTCCGTTGGACATACAAAGACTTTTACCAGGTCCATCAGCTATGAATGGTTTGTTTTATTTTTAAAACTATTCCAAAGTCTTAAAGTAACCAATATTAGTCTAGCTGCTTAGTCTGGACCTTTTATCCTAATTGCCTCTTTCATTTTCTTAGTGACTTCAAAAACTAAATTTTTTCTGAGGTACGCATTTATATGAACATTTTTATATGGACGTTAAGGACCTTACAAAATTATTTTAAAAATAGTTGCTAGTGAGAATTTGACTGTAGTTTCGACTTTTTTTCAGTAGTATACTTTTCCGTAGATCATGTAGTAAATCGTCTTTGATGAACTTAAATCGTCATTCGATGAACTTTATATTTTTGTGATTTTCTTTCAATTGTTATTTGAATAATTGCTCATTATATTTTGTCTCACATTTCCTCCGAAATATTAGAATGAATTAATGAGGAAAAAAGAATCTCTATCCAAAGAATTACGGTTCAAAAACTCACTGCAGTAACCTTTCACCGTCATCTCTCTTAAGTTCTTATTCTTTCATCTTCACTAATTTAGTACTTTTAATTTTTGTCGATTTTAGAACAAAATTTGTTACTTCCAACGATTAGTGCTTCTGAAATTGGTGCATCATCAGTTCAAGCATTGCTCGAAACGTGCTGTTATCGTGTAAATGAAGTTGAGGTGTGTTTTTTTTGAGCGTAAAATTTTGATACTGGTACTAAAAACGTTAATGAATTCGAAGTTGCCACTACCAGTTTTTATTGACAAACTCTATTTGACCAATTTTTTATTGTTAAACACTTCACAATCTAATTCGCACAAAAATTTTCACTTTATTATAACGAAGAAATTGGTTAAATTGACGGGAAATTTTGCGAATAAATCTAACATGCATTTTTGTATTCTAGTGTTGCGCACAATCTTAGCTTCTCAAAAAGATGAAGGCTGAACAATAAGTTGAAATAAGAAAAAATTAAGTGAAAGCCATATCATCGAGAATGGATTTTACCTGTGTTTTGGATTTCTTGGCAGTTTCAGGTTGCACAAGCTATAGACACTTTGCGTGCTTACATTGTTTCAAACAATATCAACCTTTTACCGGTGCTGGTAGAACTACAGAAAAGTTTGGCTATAATAGCTGCACAGCGAAAGGCGACCGAAAAAATGTCCAGCAGAATTTAACAGAACGTCAAGATATTAAGAAAATGACATTCGGATAATTTTTTTTGTTAAATTTTTTCCACTGAAGAAAGGTGAAACGTTAGCAAATAAAAAGAGAAAGTTTTCTATGAATTGAAATATTTGAAAGTAACTGCTTTAACAAAAAAAATTATTGTTAACCTTCGCTGGACTTTTTAATGTTTTTAAAATATTTTATGAGAATATTTTATGGCATATATATCTTTGAATACCAAATCTATTTCAGTACAGAAGTTTTCTTTCATAAACTACTGGATTCGAAGTTCAGGTACTGTATGATTACTCACAAGTCACTTATGACCACTACTATCTGTTCCATGTGCCATTAAAAATGTTTCCGAAGAATATATTAACTATATTTTTGCATAAAATCAACTTTGTTTTATTATCATTGTTGCATAAAGTGTTTGATTTTCACCAGTGTTCTCTTTCATCATTCTGTCTTTGGTCAAGATAGAGAAAATAAATGAACGCGAATATGGAAGAGCGCGATAGATGAAGTGACAAAAGAACTTTCTCCAAGACAAATTTAAACATTTAAACTTGCATTACTTCTCCTTGATTAACTATGTTATATGAATTTCACTCCTTGAAGTTAAACTGATATCGAAATGAGTACGAGACAGCGACAAAGTATCATTTATTGAATTTACTCAACTGAGACTTGCACTCAGATAACTGAATGTTTCCGGATGCAAACTGTTTTAAATATTTTTGGCCAAAATACGGAAATATTAGCAAAGATTTCAAATCTTTGAGATGAGATCTGATTAATTAAATTAAAGTTAACATTGGGCTAGGTGAACTCAAGTTTTAAACTCGTATGCTTGGCCGTTACATATGGCCCAATCTCACCATCCCTTCTCTTCCTAACCATTAACCTTAGGGGCACACTATGTCTGTATAATCTTGTCAATCTCTGCTCTCTGCTCGACTTAGGCCAATCTCTTTATATCTCTAACCTCGGACTATACTTTCTGCTTTATCACGTATGACTTTGTAAATTTTAGAGATTTCTGTCCTCTACAATATACAAATACTATTTTCTTCTTCATTTCATCTCTCTGTGCACTCTCTTATTCTATACCCGGCTGCAGAAGGTGGGACTGATTTGGTGAGTGTCACGGTCGAGGGATCATACTAGATTATCTACGAGTTCTTCTGCGGGATCTGTCTATGAGATTACACGAGGTCTTCGAAAGATTGCTTCGATGCTATGAAAGACTGTCCGGTCGTTTCGAAGGCGTTTCTCCCTCTCCACCCTTTTTCATCCTTTTCTAAAAGCGGCAGAATGGATGAACTTTGAAATCGTTATTCTTAATATTAAACTTTCATATACATGACATACGTTAGTTGTAAGGCCTGGTTTGTTTAAATCTATTTCTAGGGACGACCATTTTTAAAAAGAAGTGCATCAGAATGCCTACTTTTCCCGTACAGCATTGGAATCTAGGAATAGGTCCAATATCGTGCCATGCATGGAATCGTGATCGAACAAGTTTGTTGTTTTTCATTTTTATATTCACCATTGACCATTGCACATTAGAATAAGTGAAAGATTAGAGAAAAGTAGATTATCCAAATTAAAACTCTATTGGGAAATTTACAATGAATTTTTATCAGAACTGTGATCAGTCATTGTTTTTCTCTTAAATTTCTTCCTCTTTTGACACACGACTTTTCGTTTGTATTTCATATTTATGACAAGTAAAATTAAGCTATAATGATATTTGACATTTTAAATAATACCTTTGTTTTATCGTCTACGTTAAATTTTAGAAACTTCCGTTATATCTTTTAAAAATATTGCTAGTTGATGATATATTCATTTTATTTCCTTTAGAAAGGAATTTAGAGTTTAACTTGCATATTTTATCAACCTTCAAATGTTCTTTGCTTCGATTTTTTTGAAATCATTACTGCTTTTTCCTAGTGCTCGCCGTTTCACCATCAAATAACGAAATTCATGTATTTCAATGGCAAAATGGACGATGGACGTTGACAGCGTTGTTGGCTGAACACGATTTACCCATAACTGGTCTAGACTGGGCTCCGAAAACCAATCGTATCGTATCATGTGCACAGGCAAGTTTTACACTTGTTTTTTTGCAACGAGGAGATTCGTATCATCAAAATAATTCCATTCATCGTAATTTTCTATTATTCGTTAAGATTTCTAAATTCGAATCAGTTGGCAATATATAATATTCATGTATAGAGATTATGCTTTATATTTCCTCTCCACAGACTTTTTGCTTTGTAGAGGGAAGATTCTTTTTACTTCATACTGTATCTTTTTTTGGTGTAGTTTATTTTTTCCAAAATTTAGGATAGGAATGCCTTTGTATGGACCTTTGATGGGGAACACTGGAAACCTGAATTAGTTGTTGTACGTATGCAGAGAGCAGCAACATGCGTGAGGTGGTCACCGTATGGTTTGTCTTTTCGCCAACTATTCAAAATCCGGTTAATAGTTTGTTAACCGCTTTAGTTTGAAACTAAAAAAAGTTAGTTTTTGAGTATTCTCAGCTAGAAGTTGGAACTATTCTCGTATACTCTTTCTCACTTGAAGTTTGAGTTATCGCTTGCTCAAGTCAAGTTCGTGAACCAAAGATTGAGCTAATTTGAAATTGATCTCTGACATCAATACGTATCTGAAATGAAAGAATTATTGCGCTTGTGATTCGAAAGTTACTCTTAGGAATGCATTTAAAGGTCGGTATGATGTGGACATGACATTTATTCAGCAGATATAAAATCCATTTTCTCAGATTACAAATGGATTTTCATTTTCCACTAACTACTATTGCGAATTTTTTTAGCTCTATGAGAAAAAAGTGATAAACAAAATGTTAAGTAGATAATTTTTCTTTGCAGAAAATAAATTTGCTGTTGGTAGCGGAGCTAAATTGGTATCAGTTTGTTACTATGAGAAAGAGAATGATTGGTGGATTTGTAAACAGATCAAAAAACCAATTCGTTCCACCGTTACATGCATTGATTGGCATCCCAATAATGTGCTGCTTGCTGTCGGTGCGTGTGATTTCAAGGTGATTCTAATAATTGACATAAGATTTCAAAGTTGTCAGTTGTTGTTAGTTGGGTCGACTGTTGTATGTTTGTTCACTTTAATAAGATTGTGATATATGCTTCTATGCGGAGGAAGATATTCTTTTTTATCGTCGCGGTGGGTAAGTGCTGAGTAGAAGAGATTTCATTGAGCTTCTAAGAAAATTGAAACTGTTCACATCGTTATTCAAAACACTAAATATGTTTATAGGATAAAGGTGTTTAAGTTTTTTTGAAATTGATTGAGAAATTATTTCATATTTTTCAATAAAATAAATTGTATTTGGTATCATGTTACTCCTGTGCTGTGCTTCTGTATTGTTCATTTTGAATTAATCTGTGCGTTTCAGGCTCGTGTCTTTTCTGCTTACGTGAAGGAAGTGGACGAGAAACCTTCGCCGAATCCGTGGGGTACCAAAATGCCTTTTGGTGCTTTGATGTGTGAAGTATGTTTGACTTTCAAGGGAACAGGACCATTTCTTTAATTTTTAAAGTGTCATGAAATTTTGCTTAATACTATAATATAGTCTGTGAAATCTTCTAATTTCACGTTAAATTTCGACTTCATTTTAATGAGAAAAACTACCAAAGTCACGTAGCAGTTTTTTCTTTTTTGACATAGCTCAGATGAAGAGTTCGGGCTGGATTCATCATGTTGCGTTTTCACCGTCTGGTTGTCGGTTGTCTTATGTTGCTCATGATGCAACTGTTGTCGTCATCGATACTAATCGTTCGTTGGAAGAAGCTGTTATTTTGCGTACTATTTATCTTCCTTTCACTTCTATCCAGTGGGTTACCGAAAACAGCCTTGTGGCAGCTGTATGTTTTTTAATTTTCCGTCGTGTTTCATTCAAATTTTTGCTAAGAATCAAAATCTTGCAAAAAATCTAAAGACATAAATTTCCAGGGTCACGATTATTCTCCAATGTTGTTCATGTACTCAGGTGATCAACTTAAATTTGTAACAAAACTTGACATTCCATCAGAGCAAAAATCAACAAATATCAATAGCGCAATGCAAAAGTTTCGCAATATTGATCGAAATGCAGCCGTTGAAGCTGTGGACGTACGCCTAAGAACGATGCATCAAAATGCCATAACGTGAGGATTTCTTGACTTCCTCTTTCAATGTATAGTGCATTAATAAAATGGATACCAGGAAAAGCAGTGGATTGCATACTAGAAAAATGCTTTTAAAATGTTCAGTTGTACACAGTAACCTCATTTCAAGTAAAAAATTTGGCTGATTAATTTTTTTCGTAAAAGAATTTAAATCCAATTACAAAACTTTAGGGAAATTCTGCCACACAGTGGTCGTAATGATAATATGCAAAAATTCAGTACGTGTGGCATAGATGGCTTGGTCGCATTGTGGGATCTAAGAGTTAGTCTTATTTATATTGTGTATAAATTAATTGAGATGTATTAATTTTAGTTTGTGCTTTAGTCAACTATAAAGATGCGCCAAGTTGAACAAAGTATGAAATCTATAGCTTAAAGTGTATCAGTTTGAGTTTCAGGCAGCGATTGAATATTGTCAGGTAAATTTGTGGGATGTTTGTCTGCTGTTATCACTACCATAACTTTTACCTCTGTAATGTAGTTTTGGATCTATTAAAGTATTTCTATTCCTCATTTTTAACCCTTTAGAATTGTACAGTATCATATTTCATCGACAGCTTTGGAATATACAGAAGAACTGCCAAAATTAATTTAGGGAGATTCTATATACTTATATATAAAAAGGCAAAATGGAATAATCAATAATAGACTCGATTTTAATGGGGTATGGGGATGGGAAAAATCTCGAGAAAGAATTAGGAATAAATATTTTATTTTCCATTTTTTGCATGTTTTTTGTGTGCGAAAGAAATAGACACTAAACGTCTGCATTATATAATCGTTAAATATGAAGGAAGAATTACTGTTATCCTTCACCACTCAATAGAATTATCATCCACATTGTATTTACTATTAGATTATCTGGTGTATTAATCTCGACCAATGAGGTGCAACGATAGAGTAGAGGAAGAGGAGTTCTGTTTATGCGTTTTTAAAATCACATTCTTAATTTTGACATGATTCCTATTTCTACTCCCTTCTTTCGAACGATTAACAAGAGTGAAGTAAACATCTACTAACAGTTCGAAAAGTTTGTTGTGCATACCCTACGTGTGCATTTGTCTCCTCATTTCCTTTTATTTTCAGGGCGCTGCGATAGCCGTTTGATGACCTCTGGGACTTACTTCTGGATCTTGGAAATGTTCAGAATTTGTGCCAAAGCTTTTGGCATTTGTACTTTTTTTGTGGGTCATATTCCATTTCGGAAACGATAACATATTTGAAAATGCTTATATTGGTAACTCTTCATAACATTGCAACAAAGTTATTCCAAAACCCTGACTAGAATTTAAAAACTAGTACACTTGTTTCTTTTCATCACTTCAACTTTGCACGAAATTGAAGTTACGAACAGAAAATGGAGTTAGAGATTATGGCAGTGTCTCTCATCCTTCGTTTATTTATTTTCTTGGGCTATGTTCAGGATTTCCTCTAATTGATTTTATGTCATATTTAAATAAAGAAAACACTAAAATGTTTCGGAAATTCAGCCTGGAATTACCTTTATTAGGAAAGAACATGCACAACCAGTTATTCAGTTCATATTCTAGACGAAATGCATCACTTTTACTATTTTGTTATTTGGTGTTAAGTAATAATTTGTCATGCATCTCACATAGCTTTTCAATAATCGATTGTTCGATTTCAACCCCTGCAGCTTTTTGTTCATCGCTCAAGGATATCGTCTCCTCTTTATCTTCATTACTGACAAATATAACTCGCTCTTTCCGTGTGTCCAGTATATTTCCAATTACTAGCTGCAAATAAATATCTTCTACGTTTTAATTAGAAAAATTGATCCATTCTGCTCGGGATTCGACTTTCACTTAGAGCTTTTGCTCATAGGTGACTTTTCAAAAAAAAAAAAAAAACACTTTGAATTATTAAAGACGAAAATATGAGGCTTCAAGAGTTTTAATTTCTTTCAAATCTGTTCTAATTGTAGTTGAGCATAGGAGAAGGCGATAAAAGGTAATAAATTCATAAAATCATCACATCAATCGGAATGGTCATCTGCAGAAATACTTTCATTTTAATGAATTCTTTAAAATAGTTCGAATAAAATAGTATAGATTCACCTGATGTCCATAATTCTGGAGGGCCTGACGTGCCTTACTAACCAATATCGCTTCATCAGTTTCCAACTAAAAATTGAATATGCACCAAACGCACAAAAAATTTTTTAAATCACCAGCTAAGTTAAGAAATAGTACACCCACTCCTACATAACATGAATATCCGACTTATTGAAATAAGCAACAAAAATATACGTGAACTGAAGTTACATTATGTTGAAACGCGAGATGGATGTGGTGCATGAACTTTTGCAATTCAATCTATGGTAATCGAACAGTTATTGAAAAGGTATTAGAAATAGCAATCTTTTTTTATAAGTTTTCGTAATAAATCTACGAATGGAATAACTACCTTAAATGAAACGACGAATGCTTCTGGCACAATATCTCTGACCAGTTTTTGCAAAATTTTGGGAACAATATTGAGCGACAATCGCAAACCTCCCTGATTTGAATGAATTTTGTGTTCTGGCTAAAACGATATGTCAGAATTGCTTTTTCGATCTTAAACACCCGAAAAGTTATGCTTCTTATTTCTAACACTTGCAGATTAAAACATATCACAATTGCTAGTTGGTAATGTTTGAATTTATTTAAAAGAATCGGAAACGAGTACCAAATTCTCCTCGGATATATAGAAATCCGAAACAGCAGCAGCAAGATAAATCAAAAGAGAAGAATTTAAACACCGAAGATGCAGGCAAATCATTTCAAGGGTTGTCAAATACGCGGATACGTCGACAAATGATATCATTAGAAGCCGATCAGAAAATTCGCTGTTCAAGGTCAAAGCTTCTACTAAACCTGGCATATTTTGAACTGCAATTCAATGGAACATTCAAATCTTTAAAATCTTAAAAATTTCTGGGAAGTACAAATGAAAAAATACAACCAATTTTTGACATCCGGATAAGTTTGCGGACAGGTTCAAAATCATATTCTTTTTCTTGGAAAAGAGTAAGATTTTTTTTGAAAAACTTGTGAAAATAGCAGTACTTTAGTCATATCATTTAATGAAAGTAGATAATTACACAGGAGGCAGACATTACCTACATAATGAAATCTGTGTTAAAACTACAATATGCTGAAATTCATATACCGGTATGATTTTCATTAATAATAAAAAAGAAAGCAAAAAGATATGATTAACAAGCCTTCGATTTTTCCTGAGTTACTCACAACTAAATGATCAAATAAATTACAGAACTTTCGTCTGAAAGGTTTCAGAGAATTATCTCGGTGAAAAAATATCACAGCATAGCCTTTCATCAGGAAACACCTGAAACGAACTATTACTGATTAAATTGTATAGGTAAACAGCTCCATTTCGGGAGGATAAACACTTCGAACAGCAATACTGTAATATCAATAGTGAGTTAGTAGAGATAAATGGCTTTAAAATTGAGACTGCATTTCAATTAAATTAGAATTATCAGGAACAATAAAGCAAGGATTTCTTAAACTTTGCCTTCGATTTTCATTATAAAATCATTGCGAGGACTCACTCAGCACTGGCAGCACCTCGTGTGCCCATAGAAAAATTATCGATAAATCGAACCATCTTCTTTTCCAATGGCACTCTAGTACCACCACTCTATAATTGTTTAAACTTCAGTAATAAATTACATATCATCTGCTTGATTGAACCAGCAATACTAACACTTCTAATTTATCAATTCTGATTGATATCGTATACTCAAGTTCACAATTTTTAAAATTAAAGTTTTAGAGAACGAGCCTACCAAAGGGTTCTGGTGAATAAAAATTTAAGAAATAAACAAAACAGCAATCGCCACGTATGAATTTAAAAGCTAACCGTAATTAAAACAATTTTCCTTGAAGAATTTTGTCGGACAAAATCATCAACTAAAGAACCAACCGATCCCATTGTTCATGTACCAGATGCTTTCGAGAAGCAACCGCCAAGACGCCACAAATTTATGAGATTCGTTTTCGAGTACTGACAACTTTTCGATTATTTCCCATTTCTTACCTCATATTCTCATTCTCTCTATTTGTTAGTTAAACATTTTTGCCCAATAAAATCAACTAAAGAACCAACCGGCCCCATTATATTTAAATCATCAATCAAATGAGAAATACCCACTAAATTATTTATAATATTTTTGTAAGATTCTTTGAGTCGCAAATGGTCGATTTTAATTTTTGCGTCCAAGAACCTAGTCAAAATTTTCAGCTACGACACACCTGATAAAAAGAGTACAGATGTATCCAATTCAAAAAGATGAAACTAACATAAAAGAACAAATTATCGAAGTCTGAAGAAAACTCAATTGTTTTACCGAAAAAGTTACAGCATCATTTATGAACTTTTCATCAATTAAAACTTTTATAAATATATAAACAAAAACTTTAGCATACTTTGTACATGTATCATGGGAGTCAAAAAGAAAATGAAAACTTGCTTTTCAAGCATATTTGGGCAGTCTTTTTAAGTTGCATGCTAAAGCCATCCTGCGAGGTTATCTTTTGTAAATGTATTTCGCATCGATTTGACTATTCAACTATACAAAAAAATAAAATTTTTTTTACAAAAGCAAAGACGTCACTGCACAATTAACCTTACTTTTCACTTTCATATTTTTTATTTCCAGCAAGATAAGCTCAAGAAATCTCTCCTGATGCTTCTAAAGCTGCTGCACTGATCGATACCTCCTTAGCCTGCTGTTCCTGATGATCTTGTGCTAGCTTCTCAGTTTCTTCTCCAGTTGCGGTATTAATGGAAGTTCTTGATGAAGTAACAGGTGAAATGTCTGTGTCAGCAACAGAAGTAGCAGTGGTACTAGTAGTATGCTGTTGCTGCTCAGTGGTTATCTGCGGTGACTGTACTTCATCAGCTGTTTTATTCTTGGGTGAAGGGGATGAATCGCCTACAGTTAGACGATATAATATCGGCGTTTCTTCTGCCAGCTGCTCTCGTTCTACCACTGAACATAAAATCTAACAAATCAGTTCTTGTGACAACATTTAAAGAACTTTAAATTGTTTTTTTTCCGGAAGAACAGTGCGATTGAAGCTGATCTTTAGCCATTCCGTCCTATATTAAATATTAGTATCTGTAGGAATCAGAGAATTAATAAGAAAAAATTTCATGCATGATTTATTCCTAACGTATGAAATCTGTCGCTTTAATTACTCCAGACTTTCGGACAGCCCTACAAGCACAACTTACTTTGCTTTGCACGTAATGCTTCCTGTTTAGCTTTATAGTCATCATAAGCACTAAGTAACTTTTCTGACCAATCATCAACCATAGACGCATATTTCGCTTCATCAAGCTGCAAACAGTGTCCTATGTAAAATAACAGTTTCCGTTAGATATGTAATCAGTTTCCGTTAGAGAGATATGAATTATATTATTAAATATGCAAAAAAAAAAATCTACAAAATCCACTGATCTTGAATTAAACAATAAATTCGGCTTCTTAGACTAATCTTAATGATAAAGAGCATGAATGTTTTCATTTCAGGCTACTTTATGTTTCTGAATACCATTGAAAATAGTATGAAATCAAAACGAAGAGTGATGATGTTAGGCAGCGAAAGAACATTTGATGACTGACCTGAGGTTTTTCTTCACATACTTTTTTCAATTTTGCAGCAAATTCTTCCGATGCAATCTCCATTGAACGCTTTTTTGTTTGAAAAACCTCGCTCAATTTCTTGAGTTCCTCTTCAAGCTTACTCTGAAAACTTTATTAACGGAATCAAAGAATTTCATTCTGCTAGTGTTGTTGACTATTGCTTGCAAAGTGCATGAGATACTAATCTAATTTTCACTATTCAACTCCGATAGCATTTGTTACACACAAAAAATCACTAAATGGATTTCCACGAAAAAATGAAGATTGTAAATTTTACTTGATGCAAAGCTAATGAAGTCGCTTGCTTCTTCAGCATTTCGATGCGATTCTGAGCAAGAACTGTTCGAGTATCAGTAACAACGTTGCCGCTAAAGAGATCTGCTATGAGGCGATGATTTCGATCGAATCTGTAATATATATATACGAGATATATTACGCTTCAGATCAACAGCGATGGTCCTATAAATAGTTTCAGAAACTAACCTAATAGCAGCAATTCGGCGAGAGGATAGATCACCGAGTTCTTCATCTTCCACTGGCTGAATAACGACGCCTCCTGTATCCAATCGGCCGCGACTAGCTGTAAAATGCAGCAACTTTTTTTTTTTTTACAAACTCTAAACTCAAACTCAACCTCGACTACTCCGTTATTCTCTGATGAACTATAAAAAAATTTTCAGCACCACGAAGATATATCACTGTGTATTGATTGTGGATGGTAGTTAGTACTCCAAATTTTTCGTTTAATGGTAAATTCGGAAATTTCTAGAGCACATGAATTAGCAAAGGATTGAAAAACTGATAACAAGTGAAATCATCTGACCGGCAATCACACCGCCAACTGTATTTGATTTGTCGCTGACTTTTGCTCGATTTTTTGCCGACAAATACTGCTGATAAGCTGCTGAGTTGTGATAAGCTTTTAATGCCTTTTCATATTCTTGCCGTTCAATGTCATACTCCTTCAAAAAAAAACTTATGAATTTAGGTTTGAATAAACGGAAATCGAGTTCAATTTTTGAATAAACGGAAATCAATCGTGAATTACTGCTCATCAAGTAAAACACCCAAAATAGAAACAAAAACTCCGTAGCAAACAACCTGATGATATATAGCTTTTTCCGATTCCGGAGCATCCCGCCACATCTGACCAATGACTTTTCCAATATCCCACAACTGACTATCTGGATTTTCTGCGCGTACCTAAACAAATATTTTTTCAAATAATATCAAAGGATTTAAAAAAAATATATAAAAATATCAAAGGACTTAAAAAAAATATATAAAAAACTTACTAGTGTCAAAAGTCAGAATATAATATAAAAAATAGCTTGACATCAGCAACTGTAAATTTTTCAACAAATCCTTACTTTGGCCCACATTTTCCGGCTGAATCTCATATATGGAACCAAAGGACGATCTGGCGGTTTGGGTGGTTTAAGAGAATTGCTGTCATTCTGGAAATAAAGTAGAGACTTATAGTAAGATGAAAGAGTAACACCAACAATCTCTTAAATTGATGTTTTTTTAGAAATAAAAGACTTGAAGTTTACAATAACTTAAGTTTTACTTCTTTCAGCAATTAAAAGGGAAAAAAAAACCTGTTTCCAAATTAAAAGAGCATAAAAGAAATGTGATGAGTAGTGAAAAATGACATGCCTGACTTGATGGTCGTGGAGGCGGATGCCGAAACATAACGATCTCTAGTGATCCTATAATAGCTTTGGGTGAGATATTTCACAGTACACACCACAAACCTCTCCCCGCATAACCTATCCCTCTCACTTGCCCTTCTTCACGCGCTCCCCCGCCATAAACCTTCAAACCAAAGCAGCTCCAAGTGAAACGCGCGGATCACTTTGCGAATTCTTCTGTTTCAAAAAACTTCAACGTTACATATTTTGCCCTGTGGAATTCAATCACGAGTCGTTGCTAACTGAGCTGACGTCTCCTATATTATTTCACCTAACTCCCCGAACCTTACCTTCTTTCCACTTCACCATTCGGAGCTGCGTGCTTGAGCTGCGATCAGTGAAATTGAGTAGCTTAATTACAAAAAGGTGTGATTTCAATTGTTAAATCATTCCTTATAATTTGCGCATTGATTGATCAAATTATTGCTGATGATTTAGCTATCATTCTATGCTTCAAAATATCTTTCGATTAGAAGAAATACGTTTCTTCATACGTGAATGGCATGCGTACTGTGTTTTCGACTGAAATGAAATTATCAAAGAGAAATAATTAACGTGAAAAAATCATTTCTATTTTTCTTCTCTTTTTGTTTTATTAATAAAATTTCATTTTTCTTTTCAATATTTGCAAAATTATTTCTGAAAAACTATTTTGATTTATAGTTTACTAAAAAAAGTGAAAATTTTTGTTAAAGACAAGAAATTGAGATATTTTACAGCGTTGAATATCCCATTCATAAGTAGAACGATTTGCTGAGGAAAAATTCTTAATGAAAGATAAAAAAGTAATGAGTAAGAAGCAAAGAGAAGATGGTTCAATTCTTACCAATGAAAAATGTGATGATAAATAACTTTCAAAAGATTCAATTTTTTTTTCTAGACATTTAAAAAATATTAGAGGTCAAAAATTACGAAAAATTTCTAACTCCATATCAATTTCTTATCAATTCTCCAAACATTGTACTGGGATTAGAGTTGATATGATTTCTAAAATTCTTCTGATAAACGAATACTTTCCACATCATCAGAATCCATATCCGAAATCTTCCATTATCAAACAAAATATTGATGATATTTGCTTCATTAAAATCAAATGAATTTAATGTCACACCCTTTCCTTCTTTCTATATTTTAGATTTTTATTAATTCATTTTATGCTTGCCTTATTAAATTTTATCTCTGAGCAATTTGCTTCTGCAATACACTGATTTGATAGAATATATTTGATATGTGTATATATAAGTCATCATTTATCATAACCCTTGAACTTCCCATATAACAATCTGCGAGCATTGAGGAAACGAGAAAAAGAAGAGCAAGAAGAACGTGAAATTCGACGGCATGCAAGATGAGAGGCTCGTTTAATTCAAATCAATAAAAATGATTTGAAAATTGAGATAGATAGAATTTCTGTTGTAAATTTGAAGATTCTGATATCGATGAATTTATTCCAACAGTTTTTGGACAAGTAAATACACCATTGAAACCTGTCACAAATTTTGAATGCTTTCAAAAAATAACTTTCAATCATCCGTTATTATATCGGAGAATTGAAGTAAAATGAAGAAATATCGTCCCTCTCTCTCTCTCTCTCTCTCTCCTTTATTATTAATATCTACGTCTACAATAAAAATTGCAAATTAATTAAAAACATCCCCGAAAATTTATTCACAAAGTAATGAGTTTTAAAAATTTGATTAGATTAATATATGCTATTGATTTTCTTAAATGAGAGAATTCTGTGTTCACCGACTATAAACGTTATTATATTGCTTTCAAATTCAAATCAAATAAATCTTTTTTTTCAGATCTTCAAATCATCGAAGGAGGCTGCAAACGTCATATCGGCAAACTAGATGTGCATTTTGTTGAATAGAATATTTTAATTAAGAAATTGATATGTTTTACTTTTGTGGATCTTAGGAAGAGACACTGACAGCGACGCATGGATTATCAGAAGGATCTCGATAACAAACAGAAGAAAAAGAGAGCGCAATAGAATAAAATATATGTGTAGCTGTAAGCTGTCAAAAACTCTTATGAGAAGAAGGATAAGAAAATAGAAAAGCTGAAATCGTCTTGTTCAACGACAAATAATAAGCTAAGACGATATTATATCTGATTATTTTTAATTTCTCCTTACTTGTTTGTCCCACAATTTTACACTCTTTCCGAAATCAAATCTCACCGACACATTCGCTAACTACAAATAAATGAAACATTTCGAAGAAACGACAGAGAATATTTGTCGATACGATACAAAGAGATGGGGATTGCTTAGCCAGACTTGAAGATGGAGCAAAATCCCATCTTCACCAACGATATGAGCTATTTTGATGTAAGTAAAGGCACTGCTACATCAAAGAAAGGATCCGCAGAATTAGAAAGCTTGAAACAATCCGTTAAGGCAGTAACATCAGGGACTACAAGTGCTAGAGAAAATGCAACAAAGCAAACGCTACCATCGAGAAAATCTTCCTCATCCCAACAGTTGAATCAGTAAGTTACCACAGTGAGTAAATTTAGTACTGTCTCATCCACAGTGAGACAGCACTAAATTTACTCTCTATCCATTACAAATAGTCGCAGTCTACCTCAGATTACGAAACACTTCAATTCATTGGTTTTAGAACATTTCAGATTTTATATTCTCTTTACTTAAGTAAATACTCAGAAGCAACATTTTTCATTGAGAAAAATATACAACAGCAATGAATTAATGGTTGAAATATATTTGAAGAATATAGCAACAACCCGATTTCATCGCAAAATATTTGCGACATTAACACATGGCATTGGTATATTTGATAGTGGTGTAGCTTCAGCAACAGTAAGTGAGTGTTAATACTTTGAGAGCTATGGTACTCAAACTTGTTGTTTCAAAAACTGTAAAATTTCGAAATCAAGACTAATTCAAAATCTTAAGTAATTTCGGATTCATTGAGGTAATTTCTTAGATATCATTGCTGCCAATTAGTTATAATAACTGCCATCGCAAAAGTGATTTTTTTTTGATCCTATCGAATCAATTGCAGCATTTATCGCGAAAAGTGAAAGATCAACAAAAAAGCGACAGTGTTGAAAGGATCAGAATCAAAAACTATATTATCAAGAGACATTTCAAAAGGAAAGAAAAAGACAAAAATAAGGCAGATCCATTGATCTAACATATGATTTCAACAAAAGCAAAACAGCAAAAAGTTCATGTTTACATTCCTAAGCTTTTTGAGGATATTTTTGTCTTGCATCTTTTTCCAAGTTTGCTGTTATTTTATTTATTGTGTCGGAAGAATTTTTTTGAAACCTTAAGGCTTTTTTTGAAATACCACACTTTGAAATGAGATTAAAGATATGGCTAGATTTCATATCTTGAATGAACAATATCCTTTACCATCATGTAATTTAAGATATCGACTTAATTTTCATTACTCTTTTCATTTGATCCATCAAAACATGATCTTAAAACAGTACTCATTTTCAGAGCAAAATTTAATCGAAAAACTACAGCATAACTATACATTTTTAAATGTAAATTAAACATATTGCATGATACCAAGAAATTCTGTGAAGAGTTTTCAATATATTCGAAAGATTAATGAAATAGATCATAAAAACTTAAACGATATATCAAAAGTTGCAAATTTATATGATGATGAAAGGTCTCCAAGCATTATTTCAGTTAATATGAAGGCATATATATATATACATTGAACATTACTTATGTGTTCGTTGCCTAAGTAATATGCATTTTGCTATTAAATAAAAATTAAAGAAGCAAATATAAATTTCGAGCAAATGAGATCAATTCATTGCAATATATATTCAGCTCAAAAAGTGTTATTTAGCTGTCTTTCTGAATAATAACAAGACACCCAGTCAAAATTCCAATCTTCCTGAAAAAAAACTAACAATCATTTAAAATTTCAATTTTCATTTAATATCAAGGAATTTTTGTTTGAAATTCTTAATTTTCCGTGATTTTTTTATAATGTGGATCTTTTAAAAAGCTTCAAAAATGATACAAATGAGATATAAAAGTAAAGTGTTGGTTGAACACAGCAAACAGTACTTTATAGTTCAATGATTTGAATAAGTCACGGAATAATTGTCGAATAAACAAATAATTAGGTTCATCATCAAATTTCAAGGCACGGCAATAATTGAGTACTGTTGCGAATTGAGTAGGCAACCCATGACAAAGAACCTGGAATAAATGGAATGAGAAATAATCGAATGTGGGTTTCAACATTTGGTTCTAAAAAATAGATAACTAAACATAGTGGAGATAATTTTTTCAGCATTATAGATAACCGATTAAAGTGAATTGTAACCGGTTAATCAATTAGGCATTAGTATGAGTTGAGGAATTGCCAGAAAATGATGAATTTTGTAAAGTCTTAACTAACGTTTAAGCGAATGGGGATTTCAACTTCGATGTTAGGTAAAAACTACCTCTGTTGAAATTGATGTTTTGATTTCTAGAACCTGTTCGAGCTCATTAGACTTTCCACATATTTGCCAAGGCAAACTTCCACTGAAACTGGTTCGTATAAAAAAAAGAAAGAAAAATAAGAGAAAATTATACCTTCAGTCACTTCGAATCCTTAACTTACTTGAGAAAATATAAAATTATGTATATGCAGGATTCGAGGTCATCCCGTCTAGATGAAACTGTACCCAAATGCTTGTTAAGAGATGCGAAGCAAAGTGAACCAAAAAACTCCTGAAATTGTCAAGCATAACAATTTTATTAAAATTCTCTGAATCAAATGACATTTAAATACCCCTCAAAACTAGACCATACTTGAAGCATTCAAAATTTTTACGAAAGATATTACAACTATTAACCTACTATGTTTTCTTCATACGGAATATGTTTGCGACATCTACCAGATATTTTAATATATTTCGATGCAAACTTCATATCCACCAAGTAAACCTTAGCGATATTTTCTTTGATATCCATTACAAAAGTATCTGACTGAAAAGTTATTACACTTGTCTCGATATGAGTATTATCATAAAGGAACTAAATAATCATAACTATAACAAGTTTTTTCAACTTTAAAAAAAGAACTTTAATTAACTTGGCATGAGAATTGCAACTAGGTTGAGTTACTTTAAAACCATAAAAGAATCTTTGGATCAATAAAGTCTGCTCGATTCATTCGTCATTTTTTAATGACGAAGATAACAGATTATCTTGGCTATTGTTTTACGTTCAGAAAAAAAATATTTCTATTTATCAGAAAGATATATCTCAGTGAAGAGTAGCTATTTGAAATTGAAAAAGCCATACCGTAAGATTACCATGAATATAGCCTGCATCGTGCATACATTGTATTCGATCCAACATTTGATCAGCAAGCATTAAAACTGTTTTCAAACTAAATCGTCGCTTGCAATAAAGAAAAAGCTCTTCCAATGCAGGACCCATAAGATCCATAACCATTGCTTTATATCCATCTTTTATTCCAAACCTGAGAAAAATCCACTGCTATTTATTAATAACATTTACATCTTATTCCATAATACATTCATAATACATTTAATACATTCCTTTTCCAATATGAAGGGAAACTAACCATATCCATATCTTGCCCGTCTGCCTTAATAGTGAAACTTCAACACCGTTATAATACATTTCGCGTCTTTTGATGATAACAGGTAAAGGTAATAAAATATTGATTGAGAGTAATTTGTTTATTGAAGCAAAAAACAGAAAATTTCGAAGACGATTAAGGAGAGAAATGAAGTAAAGAATTTCGTGATCATATAAAAACCAGAATTTATCGCTAAATGGTCACCATCGTCACAATAATGATTATGAGGACCAAAAGAAATCTTTTAATTATGATACACTTCACTTTAAACATCTCCACGATAAGAAAATAGCATTGCAAAACTTTGGACATGAAGTATACTTTTATATGTGCTAATATTAAAGCATTTAAAGGTGAAACCTCTTGAGCAGCAAAAGATTGATGTCAAACGTACCATTACTCCTAGTCTCACTCCGTTTTAGACTGAAACTTTTAAATTAAAATTCTCACCAATGAACATGCGGTACTCCTCTACCGCGAAGATTTCTGTAAACGGCATACTCGTGTTCTAAATTATTCCCTTCTCTCTTGTTGCGCTGAAGAAAAAGAAATATCTCATATACTTTTATATACTTTCAATAAAATCATAATTAAAAACTGCACTTGATGACGAAATAACATGCAGGAGTATAAAGTGATAATATAAAGGTTAGGTAGTAATTGTGACAGTTGCTGGATTAGGATAAGATGATATCAGGAAAGGCAATTAAAAAGTTAATAAGTACAAAATTAAAACAGCTTAACTTATTATCTAATTTTATTGATAATTGATTAGTCATAAAAATTTGCTTTAAAATAGAAAGCAAATGAGCAAAAACTTCGAGTGGCAAATCATCTCATTTCATGTCTTTATTTTAGTACAGATATTTATATTCAAAAACTCACCAACATATATACATACATACTTAATTACTTGAATTTTATGAACGATGATAATAGGAACAGCATATTTATAATTCAGTTTACAATGACGATAAAAGGTATTATTGCCGTGAATAATACTTTAAATTATTATTATGTTTCTCAAGGCCAAAGAACAACTATTACTATCATTGCAATTAAAATATCAAATTTTTAAAATATTAAGGAAAATCGATAATTGCTACCAAATGAGACATAATCAATTGTTTTGATTGTTTTCTTTTCTTTAATCTAATAATATAATCGTATTGCCTAGCATTTCCCTATGGCTTTTTCCGATACATACACTTATATCAAAAAAGTGTAACCAATTACTTTATCAATTTTACGTTTTAATTGATTCTAATAAATTTAATATCTTCCTATTTTCTATTATTACTCAATGTATCTTAAAATCAATTACAACTCATCATGTGAAAAACGTGGTACTCTGTAGAAGCGCAAAAAATAATTTCTAGGCGAAGAAGAGCTGCAGCTAAAAATGTTCTTTATGGTCATAATGCTACTCGTCTTTATCCTCATATATTAGAGCCTCCATCAAGAAATTTCAATACAGTTAAAATCAGTATTAAAACTAGATCAACTGCATCTTTTTAATTGCCCACTAAACTTTCCATGACCATGATAGAGTTATTAGTGATTATTTAGCAAATCCTTTTGATAATTATTATGTGCTCTTTAATGTGTGGACAAAATCCAGCAAGAGACATTTTCTCATGACAACGTATCATAGTAGCAACACTGCCTTACATTTTGATATTATTAACAATTAGACATGTATACATGTGGAAATCACATTCATGTTCAGGATCATAAATTTCTCCAAAGTTTCACAGCATAATGAAGACCAAATAATGTGCATGACATGTGAGACAGCATTTTTGAAATGTTACAGTCAAAGCAATTATTCATTTTAGAGAATCGATCGAATTAATTATTACTCTGTATCAAAGCAAATTATCACCGTAGCTTTGATTCAGAGCAATTTCATTGCCTTTGCTGCCAATTGATTAACACTCATTCGCTGAGTTTTAAAAATTATAAAGTTTGGAGATCAATTATTTCGTCTCACTATTCTCTAATTTAAACAAGAATCAAAGTCGAATTCTATCAACTACCTGGCCTGTTGATCTAGTCTGTCTTTTGTTGGAAATTTCTCCCAATTTTACGGCTACATAACGGTTATCCGAATGGCGTACGGCAATGAAGATCTTCCTTGATCTTTGCTCATTCAACAGACGACACTTCCCATAACTTGCATAAAAATTATCATTCCCACGGCAGACTTTCATTAGAAATGACGAATAGATTGTAGAACTGAAAATGTGTGAATGAGGTTCCTCGAGTGATTACTCTGAAACTCAACGACACGACTGACCTTTATGCAACGAACCATCACATCACAATAATTAGTAGAATTCGTAAAATTAAAATTTGAAGTCTTTTTTTACTACAATAGAAACTCACCATTAATACTCTTTCACGTAATTAGAATTCAATCGTTAACTACTCCTGTATTCTCGATACAATTGTAACTTATCCCCTAATCTACACGGAGAAATACAACTTATTGGTTCTGAGCACTTCCTTGAAGGAAGTATTCCGGATAGCATAAAAATCCTACTAGCTATCATTTCTTTAGCAATAATCAATACACAAACATTCTGAAATTGGAAAAATACAAAATCCAGGCTACGATTCCACTTTATAAGTCATATAGGATAACATGTCAAGTTCAATAATTCTTGAAAATTTTCTGAAAATTTTTGCAAAATAAAAAATCCCCCAACAATATTACTTATCACCATTTTGTTATTCCTGTGTGTGGGATCTAAACAAATGAACAACCCCGATATAAATCCTATCTACAACGAACTGCAAGTAAATAACACAGCATGTGCTTAAACTCAATGAGAAAAATGAATTATATTTCACATTCTTTATAAGCCAATTAATGAAACTCTCCACATATTGACATGTATCCATCCAATGAAAAAAAAATTATAAAATAGACGTTGATGGTATATATCCAATCACGACACATACAATAAACGACGTTTTTCGTTTTTCAAATAAAACATAAATAACTCTCACTTGTATACAAAAAAACCATTCCACGCTAATTTCTGACTATTTTAGTTGACTGCGAAGGGACTTAGTAGCTTAGTAGCTTTCCTCGCCTGTCAAATAAAATTTGAAAAAGGAGAATTAAAACAAAATATTTTTTGAAGCTGGTTATACACTAGAGGCAACACGTTCTGTACATAATTAAAATATCCTCTAAATTTTTTGAGATCAAATTTAACTCGATTTTATGAAAAATCTTTAATGGTTACTTAAAACTAATTATGTGTTTAAGTGACATCTGCACTTCAATTGGAAATGCACCAGACAGAAAATATAACTTAAACTTAAAGCCTCTAAACAAAGTATATCATAAAAAATTGTCATATAACCGGTCGGAGCACTTCCCATCAACGGAAGTCTGACGATCATTGCACTCATTTTATATTTGCAGAGCAATCCTAATTTTTAGAGATAGTCCTGTACTCCTCAAATTACTGAAGAGATTGACATCTTTATAAAATTATCGGATTTGAATCTAGATTCTACGCTATGCGAAACATGAGGAAAGAATGATAATAAAACTCCAGACAAATTTAAATAAAATTTTGTGGAAACATTTCTCAATCAATAATTGGATATTTGTAATAATTGTGGTACTTCCGGCAATTAGTGAGTTCTCTCCTCTTAGACACCTGGAGCAGTGCCCGATTGTGCACCACCTTGTCCCGAACCAGCCAATGCAAGCGCTGCTGCCGTATGCTGCGCCGCTTTCTGTTTCAACATCGTCCAATCAAATGTATAATCATACTGCAAATAATGGCGATCTGCATTCAATTTCAATTGTTCAGATAAAAACAATTTCATTCTCGAAAAAGAGCAAGGAAAGATCGTTTTCTCACCTTCACGACTGTCTTTCTGGGCAGACGAAATTTTCACGATCACAATTCAGAGGAAAGCCATTCAACTGCATCCCTTTATTATATATCTATGAGACTATTTTGTGAAAGAAGCTTAATTCTTTTAACTACCTGGTGATTCAAAGTTCTAAATAGAATGCGGAATAACTGCCGTAAATACATGTAATCTGGTGCCTCATCGAATCGTAGACCGCGAGTATAATTTAAATACATAGCAAATTCGGCCGGAAATCCTTTGCAGAGCACCTACAATGGTAGAACTACTTAGATCTCCTTTCCAATCAAATCGCCGTCATCAACATACAATAAAAATGCCCAAAATGCAAATATACAGCGAGACGGCATAACTCGCCGAGCACATACCATCGTCCACTTACCTCAACAGGTGTAGACATTTTTTTTTCGCTGATTTTCTCATACTTTTGTTTTTTTGTTGCAGCTTTCAAACCTTGCCATGGAAGTGTTCCTCTAGAATAAAAATTTCAAAATTTTAGATTTTAACGACTACCTTTAACGATATTCGAAAACAAAGAAAAATGCCGACCAATCTGAATCTTAATCTTACTAACTTGTTGAAATACATTAGAACATATCCGAGCGATTCCATATCATCTCGTCGTGACTGCTCAATGCCCAAATGTGCATTGATTGATGCATATCGAGCTGTTCCAGTTAAATTCTAAATTTATCACTTAGTTGCTTCAATTACTCCTTTAGATAGAAAATATTACAGAAGGTTGAAATTTTGGTCAACAAATATTTTTAATAAGGAATTCCTGCATCTTCATCAATTATAATTGTGCGAATACCTTATCCTCTCGATACGGGATATGGGCTCGCGTACGTGAATCACGATATTTTTTAGCCAAACCGAAATCAATTAAAAATAATTTATTGCAGTGTCGTCCTATACCCATCATGAAATTGTCAGGCTGAAATTACATAAACCAGATTCATAACCGACAAATATAATGACTAAAAAATGTTCGCTGCTTATTTTTCTCAACCAGTATAAGTTTCAAGCCAATCCATTTTCTACTAGACAATATGCAATCTTCTACTTCCATCTGAGACAACATTTCGAAATATTTACGATGTCGTGAGTTAGTTCAACAATTATCTGTTAAGACCAAACGTCTTGGAATACTTCTGCTCAACCGGAATATTGTTCATAAGAAAGGACTAAGCAGTTATTGTCCCGATTCTTCAGAATGTAAAAAAAGCAGAATTTCAACCACAATACATCTCTCTGGTAACTTGCCTTGATGTCCCTATGAATGAAGTTTTTGACATGAACATATTCAATGCGTCCAATCATTTGATCCGCTAGCATTAGCACGGTTTTCATAGTAAAACGACGGCTGCAGAAGTTGAAAAGATCCTCTAATGAAGGACCTAATAAATCCATCACCAATACATTGTATTCCCGTTCCGTACCGTACCTAAAAAATGTTGGTAAAAATATCTTCCAAAAGTCGATAACATGTTCCAATAATAGAGTATCAAAGTGAGAAATTGTTGCGTTTTCACTCAAATCTTGGCTTGACATCTTTATAAATTGAATTTTGACTGTGCTTCCTTAGCATCATCACAATTTTCATAGTCAAATCATTCTTGCAATACTGGTTCCAAGAATAATGATTCTTACTGATGGCTACTTCATTAAATGCCCCATTAGCTGCTGCGAATACTAAAGTATTTTTTCAAAGGACCTTAACACATATTAAAACATGAAATACGATTGCCCACTTCAGACCACATCGCTTCTCATTAGCTGATGATTAATAGCACAGATAAATTCAAGAAAATTATTAAAAGAAATTGAACAAAAGTATAAAAATTAAAATGTCCACTTTTACTATCTTGATGTCCGAATTGAGAGAAAATAAAATTATGACTATATTAAACATCAAATAACTGACCATCGAATATGTGGTATGCCAACTCCACCCTGCAGAATTTTATACACTTTGCTTTCGTAAAGCAGCTGGGGATGACGAGCCTGGAAATTGCTTTTTTAAAAAAACTGCGTGATTTCAGTAATTTTCTTTTCAAATCTACATTTTTGTGAAAGATATCACTTTTTTCTCTGATCGTATTTGAGCTTAGCAGAATTAATTTAGCAATTACTTAGCACAATTAATTTTAAATAACCTTGTTGGATTCCATTTTAACAGCAACTTCTTCACCATTTGTGATATTTATAGCCAAATATATGTCACCAAACGAGCCAGAACCTATTTTACGGATTAGTTTATATTTTGTTGCAACGATAAAATCACGAGAATTGGTAGCAACGCCCGCCATTCTCGGGCCTGAAATGACATATGATCCAAATTTTTACATAAATCTGAATATATTTCATATGGAACTCATTTTGCATCATAAATGATAGCGTTAAGTCTAACCGGTCTCAAGACGCTAAAAATCTAGTAAAACTTTCGAAATAAACGGAAAGAGCAAGAATCTCGAAGAAGTTCGTGTCAGTGAATTCTCGCACAATTAGCCTAACTACAACATATATATGGCTCAATTATCCTTAAGAAAAAACATCGCTCACTCATCTAACTTAGACTGCAAATAACTTATCAGTCCTTCGGACTCTTAGCTCAAAAAAGCTAAATGTTTGTCTATCTCAATTGAAAAAAGAATAACAGCTTAAAAATTGACACATGAAAGAGTTTTTAAAAAAAAAATTTGCATAGTAATTTACAATACTAAACTTTATATGCACGACATATGAGCACGTCTAAGACTTCATAGCAAAAATCATTGACATCAATTATAAAAATCATTTTCCTTCACCTATTTTCTTTCTCCTTACAATCCAAAAAAAGAAAATTGTGGAAATTTCGAAACTTATATTACCCTCTTTCACGGCTAGCAAATTCAATTAATCATATAATCTAGTCTCTACAACGATGCCTAACTTTTTTAAAACACCAAAATCAAACATTCTTTGGCCAAATTCCATACTATTTCTATGACCAATACAATTACATTACCCACCAAGTAACATTGCCCCGTCTCTAATTCCTCAGCCGCTCTAAAAATCCCAAACTATGATACAACCAACCCAACCACATCGACGATTCTTAACAACGCGCAACGCAACCGCAACGCAATGTAGCATGCAACGAGTAGCGGAAACACGAGAGATGACGCTGTATTTCGGAGGAGGAAAGAGGGAACACGCCACTCGGTTGCAATTAACATTATGGCCAGTAAACTATTATAGTTTCACATCTTGCCTTCTCTTCATAATTTTAGCCGAATAAACTCAGTGTTTAAAATTAAGTAAATCCTTTGATCTATAAAACCGTAACTCTTACATTACCCAAACCAAACTTAATATACCTATAGCAGATGGCAATACAAACATAACAGGATGGTCCGGCCTACCCTCCATCAATGCGCACCATAGTCGGACTACTCTCGAATCGAATAATCTCAAACTTCTATAACGTCCACCGAGAGATGCTAAACAATGAGGTTTCAATTTGTTTACCACAATTTATTGTCATCTATTCCATCATATACTCCTCCGTTGAACTGGATGCAGTCTTCTTTCCAAATGAGAATGAGACGTGAAGAGACAAATAGTGTAAGCCATTCCCGCACTATTTCCTAATTTTCATAATATCATTTAGTGAGCCATCCTCAACATCCATATCCGGTATTTACCGCCAGCTCAATAGTGTTCCCATTTGTAGGCATTTAAAAATTGATTACTTGTCAAATGTGAACAATAATATTAATATTGGCTGCTCAAGTGCTGCGTAGCAGAGAACACACTGGGATATTGCGGGGAATTTTCACAATAGAATTACTTAAGATCACTAGGCTTAATGTCACCAATGAGCTTAATTCAAAGTCTGCGCTTGTTCTTGCTGTGGCCATACGAACAGCGAACAAGCGTTCAGTTATACGCAGGAAGATTTTCATTTATCCGTGGCAGACTTTATAAGTGTGTCAAATATAATATTTGGACAAACTTAAACATGCATCTATAACCTAAGGGAAAAATAACTAAGTAACGCATGAAGGAATTTTATCGTTTTTTGTTCTTTCGCGAACATATTTATTACAATGAAATATTGTCATGAAATCTTTATCAATCAAAATTATCAATGAAAGAAAAATAAGATTACCCACTGAAGCAGAAATTTCATTCATTCGTAATTTTCAATTATCTTTTACGAAAAGTTACTACTTGTATAATTTCGATTTAGATACTTGAGATCACAATGCAAGAATTTATAGACAAAGAATGATGAAAAAATTTTAAAACAAGTACCCGAAAATTAATTACAATAAATAGCAAAATAAAAAATCGCAATCATTATCCTATAACGATCAACGAAAACCAAAAATAGAAAAGATTAAAAATACAATACAGAAAACTTGATAGTGAATACTACAACAATAATTCTCCTAGAGATGTAATTGAAATTCTCCTAAAATACATTGCAAGGGATTAATCAGCAAGCAAAAACTCATACGACATTCAATATGCTATAAAGTTTCATAGAAATCTGACTCTCTAATATCATTTATTATATGGAAGTTTTGTAATTTTCTTTCATTTCATATGGTAGATTCTTTTTTCATGCGATTCAGAGCTAAATTGGAAAAACAGATCACTAGCAGGGGATACTATCTTGTTTCTTGATACTGCTCTTCAATTTCTATTGTCTGAATCGATCTTAATTGTAGAATGGTTCCTTAATGGACAATTATAATTAACCAATCACATGATTATCAAAATGAAATAGAAACATACAAATAAAAATATGCTCCTTAAATACTTAAGAATTTGATTAGAAAATAATTTTAAAACAGAAAATTAAAAAATTTACTTTACAAAAACAAATGAGTTCAAATTTTTAAATCGTCAATTATTTCTCTTCTTTCATATTCTTCTTTTTGAACCAAAGAGACCGTATTTTTTGTTGTCCGCTGTTTAAGTGTGGTCCAATCAAACGTGTAGTTGTACTGAAATAAGCCATGAGGAACCCGATCTGATGATAACGAAGCAAAAGAAAAGAAATTCTCCATTTTTAAAGAAGCAAAAACGGAGATAAAAAGTACTTCGAAATAATAATACAAAACAGAGTGAAAAGTTATGGCAGTAATAAAAATACATTTCAAATTCGGCTGAAAAGTTTTTGCAAAGAACCTAAAAAATAATTTGAAATTTCAGAATATTCAGCAGTATTTTAGATCAAACATCAGGATCAAAAAGCAGTATTCGGTAATTGCTGCATTGTATGTTGATAATTAACATCATTTCAACATCTCAACGATAAAAGAAGCTTTTAAAGAAGATTCATGAAAACAATTATTTTGCCCAATCTACCTAATAATAAGCCATCAATAATTCGGACCATCTAACTTCAAACAACTGATCAATTTCAACATTACTTATTCTTCCGCACTAAAATAAAGTGTTAGAACTAATATATATGCTAGTTCTAAGGCTTTAAATGGAGAGGAGAGCAGTAATATAAACAAAAATCAAAAATTATGCCTGAATGAGCGTAGTCAATTTCTTTTCATATTTCTGTTTCTTTATTATCGCTTCCAACTGTTGCTATAGCAAAGAATCCCTGATCAGTTCCAATCCATCCTCCGACTGGAACTATTTCATTTTCTATCAAAAGAAACTACAGCTCAAACAAACATTGCCAAGTAAGGGCATATTATAAAATGTTATAAATGCAACAAAGTTTCTTCGCAATTCTAAAATGTTTCAAATTTGATATTATCTTCAAATCATAGCAACGTGCTGGATGAAATGTCAATTTTCGATGCAATTTATCATTAAAAGCTATAACATAATTATTTGACGTAGTCGATGTTCCTGCAATAGCCATTGATAAGTTAGATATCACTGCAGCTGCCACTGTCGTCTTTCTCCTGCCAAAGAAGTGAAATGATTACATGATGAATATCTTGCTACCAAAACCGAATAGTGTCACTTTTTCTTTTCCAGAAATATAGCAAACCGATTACAAAGTATTATCTTACTCAGCGGAACTGATGGGAGGAAGTGTCTACCTGAGAAAGCAGATTACTTCCTCTGGTCATTCAGAACACTTAACTCGGAATAACCCATGTATAGTATTGAAGACTTTTGGAATATTTTAAAATTCTCTTCTTGAGAGAAATCTTTTTCAACGGAAAAATCTAAGAAAAGTTTTCAATTATACCCTACACATCCCCGCTACGTATAAGGACAGAATTTGGCTTATGTAATAAGGTTATTGCTCCATTTATTGTTTGTTATATTCATGAGCCCAAATAGGCAGATATATGATCTCCGTTTCCTTTTAATAGAAGGAAATATTTTGAAACAGAGAGAGAGAGCACACCCAACAATAACCCGCTTACTATGAAACCGAGGCTTAAATTTCATATAAATAAAAAAACTGGAATTCGACTAACAGTCCTTGGTAGCTTGCTGCTAAGAAATTTTCTGGGATTACAAGTGTCAGGAAAACGAGAATAAAGGTATGACCGTCACAGCGGTCACTTCATAACCTTCACAGTATGCACCAACCCAGATTCCCAATGCTAGCAGCAATCATTTCTTGGCACTTATCTACTACAAAGTCGAGAGGAATCAATCGAAATTCGGAGCCAGAGGAAGCAAAGAGTGAATCGGACAAACGCCAGTGGCCAATCTTCAACAAACAGTACAACTCGGGAATAATCGTATTAAAATTGTTCCCTAATATATATTATGAAAATCAACGGTTCTCTATTTGAAATAGAGAAATTCACATCAAACTTAAAAACAACCTCAAAAAAAGCAATCCTCTTTTTTAAATAATCAAATCAAATATTTAAGTTTACTTCAAGTTCTCAACAATTCACAGTATTTAGCCTGAAGTAGACATTAATACAAACATGCACGTCTTTGACAGCCAGAGAGAGATTCATTCATCGAAATATTCGAAGGGCGAATTTCACTGTTCCAAACTAATATTTCCGTCCCGAATCAAAAGACATATACATATATTTCGTTTTCCATGATGATTTCCGCAAACGACGATTTTCCAAAACTGATATTCAAGCACAGAAATGACTCTATAAAAATTAAACTAATGCAGTTCCCAATATGTTTTTGAATGGTTTAAATTTGTTTGGTTAACGGAACTTGACAAACAAATCCGTATAACACATCACTGATACAACAGTGAACAAGAAGAGCGCTGGATATTTACAATTTCAAGTGCCATCGGTCTGTGTGCCACGTAATATAATCGAAACATACACAATTAAGCCTCTTGTACAGCGATTAATAACCAAAATGTAAAAAAGATATTATGCGTGTAGTAAGTGAGGTTCAAGCTTATTTTATTTTTGCAGTAAATTGAAAAATTAAAAAAAGGCCGTAGACTTCATAACCAGTCATAAATGATTTCTTACAACTTAATAAGAAAACAAATTAGAACAGTAAAGTAAAACTAATTCAAAAAAGGTATACGAAATATTGGACAACTTTCTAAAAAAGATGCTTCCAATTACTTTGAAGTGAAATGAGCCTAGATGCAATTGATTCCCTCAATCTTGATTTTTGAAACAGCCCCTGGAAAACAGGATTGTAGAAATACAATTCCTTTATCTGTTGATGAGGAAATCTGCTTTCATATTCTTATTCTATACAAGAAATGGTACAATTTAATTAAAATCCAATTAACACGCAATATATATCATTCAGTAATACTGAAAGAAAAACTAATCTCACTGCGCAGAAAATGCATCATTGTAATTATAGACAAAATCGAATAATTAGCTGCAAATGAACAAGAAAAATAAGAAACAATCCATCTATAAACTGTCGATTTCCATAGCAGCATCATTCTGCACATCCGTGTCTATTTCCGTGACATTCATTACAGAAGATGGCAATTTAGTGCTTTGAGCAATCGTCTCATTCGAGCAATTTCCCGACTCTACTGCACATGTATCATCTGGGAAAGTAACAAAACCTAGAAAAAAAAATAGTAAAATAGCATCCCGAACCAATATTTCTCGCTATATCCAAAAATTTTCTACTGAAAACCTAAAAATTAGTTCTTACCATTATCATTAGACGCGTACTCTACCGCATCCTCAATATTAATTTCTTTGATTCGCCCAATCATTGTTGAATTATTGTAGGATATGGGAGGTACATAAGGTACCAAAGCCATCGACAAAGGACTGAAAATACATATTCAAAAATTTAAAAACTACTTAAGTTTAGGATGTGTGGTTTTAAAAAAAATAAGACAAATGTGGAATTTATAGTGAATTTAGAAGCCTTCATTAGATTTAAGAACCTATTCATATACGTTTCCTAATGAAGACTTCTAAATTTACATACCAAGTTAAACCCAATGGCTTAGGAACGAAGTAAAAAAATGAAACAGTACCTGAAGAATTAACGCAGCAGTTGGCAAATGTAAAAATCTAGATCGTGAAAACTAATACGACATTCAAAGCAAAAATAGATAAGAAATACTTGATTTTACAAAAAAGAAAATGGAGTTTTACAAACAGATTGGCGGAATAGTAAAAAACGCACTTGCTAATGGTAATAGGAGGAGCTTTACGCTCATGCTCGATATACTTCCGTAGCCTTTCGTCTAGAATTAACAGTGCATCATCTTTTTCGATATCTTCCTCGGCAGTATCTTCTGAGTCACTAAACATGAACAAATACATAGCAAATATTGTATAAAAAACTGTTAGTCGTATTCCACAAACATCGAAGTTAGATTAGGAACTTTTCAAGGTGTTAAACGGGCAATGCTGACGTGAAGATAAATACTTCGGTGAAAGCTCTGGAAATTTTGCAGGAAAAGCATAATCTATATGGCGGAAGAAATATTACACTAAAAAATAAATACCTATCTTTCGAATCCAGCATTGATGGACCAGGATCGTTTGATATGTGAAAATTTTCTAAACGAGCACTAACTTTTTCCATTCGTCGCTTACACAGCGGCGCATCATTCTGCAACTAATTTTAACTTTGATGTACATTTCATTGGTAATTATAGCTAAATGTTTTGCAATTATAATGGATACAAAAATCCTTAACTCACAGCGCACGTCATTATATAACTAAACATGAGATAAATTTAAATACTTCGAACTGAACCTTCTTCCATAAAACAATTACACGATGAAAAAATTGCAGGTAAGTCGAGTACACTGCACTCATCAATCCTTGCGAAAGTTACTATTAACAAATTCAATTATGCACCAACAACATACGTTACATTTCAAAAAAGACCTACTTCGAAAAGCGAACGACGTTTTCGAGAATAATTTTTTAAACTTCCAATTTGTACACCTGAACAATTTTTTTCGAATTCTATTTCATCCTCCTCATTAATCTCCATTCCGACCTGAAAATGATATCATATGCACACTATACACATACTAGAGGGAAAGGACATCATACAAGAGGATATAATGAAATACACAGGTAAAAGTTCAACCATACTCCACCCACCCACGTGCTAATGCAACAGATCAAATATTTAGCCGTGTTGATCGCATTGATATGTTCAAGCCAAAATTTTATTTATTAGAGGTATGAAGGTAAATTATACGAGAGATCCCATCAATTCTGATCCAATGGATAGACCTCTCCGGTATACGTTTGTTCCTGAAGACTTAGAACAATAACCGGACCTGTGCCTCTGAATAACACTTTAGATCAACAAAAATACTGCAGATGCTTTACAATATATTTAGAAAACTCCCTATCAATAAAACATGTTGAATTCTACAAAGGATATAAAAATTAAATTAAAAATACCGTATCCATGATCACGCCCGATGATACATTCTCTCCGAAGCAATAATGATTCGATTGGTTCTGATATGGTACATCTATCGAATATGGATTGCCATAAAAATTAGTATTTGTAAATGGATTCAGACAAGCGCCCGATGATGGTGTTGTCATCAATCTTATGAAAAAAGCTGATGTATATTTCGTGGGGAGTAAAACGTTAGAAAACCCGACTGTGTCATTATCATGATTTTTAATTCTGATAACGTTAACCAATAATGAAATAATTATAGTTTTCACATAGATGATCAAAAAATGCTTGATTTAAAATCGCTCAAAAAAAAATAAACAGATAGTTCAGTTTCAAATGCGATTCAGAGGAAATTATCAGAGTAATTTCTACTACACATGCAAATTATATCACTGATTATCCTAAATAAAAAAATCAATTCAAATTATCTTGAATCCTGAATGATGAGAAGTGATTCAAGATAATTCGAAAAGTTGCCTTCAGCTAGAAAATTTCAAAAACATTCAACCCAACTTCATGCAGTCAACACATCCATCTCATTACTTCCTTCCATTTATAAAGAGTTAATGAATTTTCGAGAAAACTCTCAAATATTCCTTTTTTATCATAGGTCTCTTTCTTCATTCTCCTGCATCTCTTTCTCTCATCAATGCTACGCTATTTCTATGTCTGCTCGTTTATTTCTCTGAACGAATGTTGGAGAATTTCATATTTGCTTGGATAGATTACTGTTGCTTGAATTTTCCATGATGATTTACCTACCTGGAGTACTAATTGATTGCTCATCGAATTTTTTAAAGCTTATTATGAGCATGGTTGAAATATCTAAATAATTTCTTCACTGAAATGCAAAGGATTGCTACAGCGGCGCAGAATAGCATACCAGGAATGCCGTTTTAGAAGTATAAAAGCTTATCACAGATGTTTTCCTCCAAGCAAAAAGGTGATAGATGAAGCAGAATTGATGATGATATATATCAGAAACTTTATGAGCAATCCTTACGAATGAAATACTGAGAATTTCATGAAATGACCATGCTTCATTTATCATCTTTCGACTTGCAGGAAACCATTTGGTGAGTAAATAGAAAACAGGATATCCAATGCATAACAACAAATAGAATCAAGCGATAGAAAAAGAGTTGTGGAAGGAATAATTTGTGAATAAAGCGAAATTTGAATACTTATCGGGAATTATCGAAGTTTGCATTTCGGAATTGTTAATCAGCCTATAAATGTTATTCAAAGAGTACCACTGTCAGTTATTCCATACATTTTTGATTGTCAAAACAGTTGTTTGCGATAAATTGCTCCTAATAAAATGTCATTGGTTGCAATTTTTGTCTTGCTGCTTATTGCGGCTTTCGCGTATTTTAACTTTGCCAAGGTAGCTCAGTAAATTGTTCCCATTTTACTAGGCTTGCTTCAATAATTTCTTAAGTTATAACTTTAGCTGGACATCGATATTTTGATATTTTAAAACCCTTTTTTTGTGCTGTTGCAAAGTGTAACTTCGTCTTCTTTGGATAATGGAAATAGAAATTTCTAGATAATATATCAAAGTATTATCAGAAATTTTGTTGAAAGGTGAGAGAGAAAGAGAGAGACACTGTATGTTAATGTTATAGCTTAGTTACTGAGGTTTTTCAAGAACGTGTCCAGAGGTGAATTTCGACGGCAAATCAGTAGGATGAAGCTGTTATCTATTATTACAACATGAATAATTTCTCATTCTAATTATCAGTTCATGAATTTGAATTTTCGCTTCAATCGATCAATCAATATTTCGGAGATAAGCGTACTTTATAACTTTTGAATTTAAATTATTTCAGCTTCGACGCGAAGCTGACAAGGTCAAGTCAAGGAGTGTCACACCATCCACCGTTGTAACGCAAGAGGTGACAATATAATACTTTTTAATTGCTACGAAAAGAACCAACTGAACTCTTCATATTTATCAAGTAGAACTTTTTTGAAAGATGCAATTAACGATAAGAGGAGCATTTCGCTCCTTCGCTTAATTATAGCTTTAAAATTTTTTTTCTGCAGATTGCACCACAAGAATCCGCAGAATCAGAACCATCAGCACCGCCTGCTGAAACATCACTTCCACCACCGCTACCGTCTGCACCGCCAAAATCTGAACCGTCCTCGCCAAAACCTGAACCGCCTCTGCCAAAACCTGAACCGCCCCCGCCACCAATTCCATCGCTACCAGCCGAACCGCCACCAATTCCATCACTACCAGCCGAATCGCCACCAATTCCATCACTACCAGCCGAACCGCCACCGTCCGCATTTCCAGCACCCAAATTGCCACCGCCACCGCCCTCATCGCCAGCACCCGAACCGCCACCGCCACCACCATCGTCCTCATCGCCAGCACCCGAAAAATCTGCTCCCGCCGAATCTTCCTCGGGTGTTTTGTCGCTACCATCTTCATCTTCTACTCCGGGATCTGCAGGGTCTGAATTACCAAAAATATCAGGCCAATCCTCTCAACCAGAAAGTCCGATTTTGTCGCCGACAAGTGATGTGCATACTGCAAAAATTCTGGCCACGCCAATTGATGCACGTACTGCAGTGGTAAAAATGATTTTATAGATTTTGAAATGTTAAAGCTTGGAATAATAATGAAATTCTCATTAAAAAATTGAAAATTCATATTTTTGTAGTTCATTTTATCTGAATTTTAGGAATTAGTATTACCCAATCCAGCTGTATCAGCAAGCAATTCACAGAGGTTTTGTTTATCCATTTTTCACTACAAACACTGCGTTAATTAATAATCAATTGATATTAAATCAAATCATCAATTTAAAAGAAAAAAAAAAGATGTTTGACAATCGTTAAATGCTACCATTAACATAACCAGCGGTAGAAGAGAAGTAAATTTCATTGCAGTGGAGCGATAACAACAGGTGGGACAATTCAATCAGATTCCAGCACTCCATCTACACAATCCAAAGATAAAGATAAACCCAAGAAAAAGAAGAGAAGTGAGAGCTGGCTGCTTTTTCCTTCTCTATTGAGTCATTTTTTTTCTCCCAATTCCTTAGAAATCAATCGAAATGGCACAATTAATTTATTATTCTATTAAGATATTACATTATTAAACTTGCGATAAAATTTGAGGGTCCTATTTATATATTAGCTTGATGGTTTTATTTCAAACTCTTTTTCCCTTATTTCCAGTAGTATAATTTTGCTTTTGCAGGCAAGAGAAAGAAAGGATCCAAGAAAGGTATAGATCTAGATAATTTTTTATAACAAGTTGCTTGTTAAGTTGTAGCTGATGAACATTATGATGTAATGTTCATCAAATCCGCTCTAGATAGAAGAAGTTATTAGTTTGGTCATGGCAAAGCTCTAAAAACCCTTCCTTAAAACCGTTTTCCGTTCCCATTGTGGTAACGTATTGGATAAAAATCCATAAAGAATACCTAAAAATTTCGGTATCAACTATTTTATCTGTAATTATTTGTTCAAAATTTAAGGCAAAAAGAAAGTATGAATGATTGGTGCAGAAAGCGAAGAGCGAAGAATTCTTTTTTTGATACCTTTGTAAATAATTATAAATGAAACTGATCTACGTTGCTCGCTCTACATTATATATATTGAATCCATAAAAATAGCTTTTAGGGAAAAGGTTGCTTTCTGAAAAGGCTATAATTCGAATAGTTTTATGTCCTTTGTTAAGATTTGCGGCTGCTCATAAATAGATCCTGTGGAAAGATGGGAATATGATCATATTATGCAGTGTAGCAAATATGAAAGAAAAGAATCCAAATGATAATCTTTTCCAAGCTACTAAGTGTGTGCTAACTGTATTCATACGGAAATGACATCGTACTTTTCATATTTGACACTTTCGATCGTCACTTGCTAACAACTCGATGCAAAACGGTGTCATTAGCTCATTGACAAAACTTCATATATTCGCCGATTTATAAGACAACACTAGCACATCTTGTGTGGTCTTGTGGTGTAGTGGTTATCACGTCTGCTTCACACGCAGAAGGTCGCCGGTTCGATCCCGGCCAAGACCTAAGATGTCGCATCATGTATTGATTATGGCGAACGGCATCATTTTACCCATAATAAGTAATAAACAGAACACGCGAATAAACATTGGTTGTTTTCTTACAGTTACAAGATTATTGAATTGGAAATACTTTACGTCGAACTGATTTGTTTGATATCTGAAATTATCACTGGAACCGAAGTGAAAGCCAAGAGATGTCCGCCAATGAATAATTTAAGTCTACAATTTAGCTGTAATTTTATTTACACGTCAGAATTTAATTTAAAAAACTATTGTAATGAATAATTTGAGATAAATTATTCTTGGCAATGAAATATCATTGCAATTCTCACCAATTGTGCTTATTCTTTTGCTGTAGAAATCAATAAGCTGTTGAAAATATGTCAAAATTCTTACACAGTAGTTAATTGGAATGAGATAAATAGATTAATTAGTTACATTTTATCCTGAAAGTTAACGATAGTTTGAAACGGTAGCAATGGCTATAAAGAATGCCTTCACCAAAGTACGGTTGTTTTATTTTTCTGTTCTTTTGAATCATTCTATCCGCTCAATTTCTGAATATTCCCCAAAGGCGCTGCATCTTTTTTTTAAGGACAAAGTTAAATCACACTGTCATCCATTTACCACCTGAGAGTTCACTTCTATGAACCTTCCTTCCTTAATTATTGCAAATCCGGAAGCTTGTGTCAAACATGTCTGTGGAATATATCTATTAATATTTCACACGAAAAAAAGAGAGTCAACATTAGCTTAAAATTAGAATTATTATTGAAAATTTGCAACAGTGAGAAATACAATAGTCAAATTCAAAGTAAATCATCGGCCTGATAAGTTTTCTTTCGGTTTCATTTCTACTTACACTAAATGAAAATTGGATCCGCTCAAGTTCTCATGCTTTCATCCTTATTCATAGAAAAATTCATTTCGTTTGAGAAAAAATCTTGCAATATTTGGCATCTCATCCAGATGATTTTCATTTAAACAGCTTGAGGTTTCGACCGAAACATATATTGGCAAACTCCATGTGTGCCTAAATGAACTTCTACATAGGCTAATAATGCACTTACAAGTAGTTCGATATTTCAGTTAAACGAAGACTTGGAAAATGATTGAAAAATTTTTGTATCAAACTCATCATGACTTTTTTGTAGCAAAAATCAAAGGCGTCAACACAATAATGCAATCCCCATACGGCTCATAATCAATTTCAAATTATGTGGATAGAACTTTTCCAAGTGACAACTTTTATTTTGAACTCTGCAATGTATGAAAATAAAATCATAAACTTGAGAAAATAAAAAAATTTGATACAGGAAAATCCTCAAAAGAAATAATACGTACACTGTAAAAATTAGATACAGTTATTGAGAACACTAGAAAAGCTTTGGAAATTTGAACACTGATCAAAAACGGAGATGAACACAAGGAAGGAAAGAAATTCAAAAAAGCCATCTGGGCTGCTATGTACGAAGAAAATTGATTTGAATTCATCTTAAACATTCGTCCCAACAGTAAAACAGAAAACGGAACAGTCTGGATAGACATAGTTACCACTTCACTGTATTATGGATAACAAAGCACAAAGATAACAGAAAAGACAATGACAAAATATTTAAATTTTAGGAACATTAAATGGAAAAGTTAAAAACTTTTCAAATCGATCAGCAACATTTACCAAGAGTCACTTAATAGAGTGAGGTTTTCTTCATTACAGTGTAAAAATCATTTTCGCAAACATTACCACTACCACGGGTATCAGCTTCCAGAATCATTTCCTATAGAAAATAAAATTAAAACTTGATAAACATGCGGTCTGCTTGCCAAACCAACAATAAGAAATCCAACTGACAGGAGCTTATGATAAATTTATATTAAAGTTAAAGCTCGAGGTGTCAACATTAGCAAGTTAATTTAAAAATAATAGCAAGCTAATTTAAAAAACAGATAAAAAGTTAAGCATAAGCAACGTCAACTGCCGTTTATTATGATATAATTTAAATTTTATATATGCACTTCTCAGAGAGAAATTTTATATATGCACTTCTCAAATAACTTGTTTGTAATTTCAACAACAAATACGAACTTCTAAAGCAATTCTAAAAGATTGTCAACAAAAAGAAAATTCAGGCATTTTACTATTTAGCTAACTTACTTTTAGTTGGTCTTCCGGTATCGTTTCACCCAGTTCTTCAGCAACTCTTCGCAAATCATCAATTGTGATATACCCTTTGAAATCAGAATCAAACAATTCAAAAGCAGCATGCATTTCTTTGATCCCATTACGTTCATCTAACTTTTCGCTCAATAAATCACTCAGCTCTTTAAATGTAACTTTATCTGAAATAGAAAAATAAATACTGCAAATTCAGTAAACATGAAAGAGTTTCTATTACAAAGTCTTTTCATATTTGCTGAACATCGGAATATTTCGTCCTCTTATAATGTTCCCAACAGATAGAAATGCCTTACCACTTTTGCTTGCAGATGACGAAGTGCCATATCTTTTAAATTTCAATCCTACATATTATTTTATTGAAACAAACATAAAATACCTTTTTGTTTTCCATTTTCTTCAATCTTTGCAGTCAAAACTCGTATTTCGTCATTTCGTGGCTCGAAACCAAGTGACCGAAGAATAGTCTGGAATGAGCAATTTCCTTTCAGAACAGCAGCATTTTCGTTAATATTGAATGAAGCCCAATTAAAACACTTCCATTCCCAAAAGAATTATTCGCCTTTTCAAGGGGTCAGTGATATCATGGCCCATACGCAGCATTTGCAGAAAAAAAAGTTAACCTTAAGATTTTTGATCGATGTTGCTCCAGTACCATCTGGATCATATTTCGAAAATGTTTCCTGCAATTCTCGTCGTGAATATTCACTGACCGTTTGTTGAGATGCTGCCGTACATTGAAAATCAACGACATTAGTCATAATTGACAATTCCCGTTCGTAGCTGTTAACAGAAAGTTAAATTGAACTAATTTATCACATAGAGAAGATAGATATCGATAAACTTATCTATACATATAAATCAGCACTTTTCCTTTAGTCTCCTCAGATAAGTATTCAAGTTTTATAATCGAATCAAATGAAATGTGTCTAACGTGTCAATCGATGTTAAGCAAACAGAACTAAATTAAAGTGAAATTTTTATTCCAATTTCGCGGTAAAAACAAAGAAAAAGTGGTTTCATTCACTAACGCTTAAATCTTCTGGCAAATTTCACGAAATTCCTGAAATCTCTCTCTCTCCTCTTTTAAATTCCCTTGTGCCGACAGTTTCAACGGACATGTTTCATCAGAGTGATGGAACGATGGTTCCATTGCTGCGTCTTTTGGGATGAATGCGTTACATTTGTCCCTTCTCCAGCAGGAAAATTCATACATCGTATTTGATGTTAACCGTACTGTTCGCCACTTCAATCGTTTTCAGGAAAATCAGAACTTTATGGATGATCAACATTGTGTAATTTTTCATGAAGGTCATCCTTGCGAACTTCCTATTCTTTCAGCGCTTTCTGGACAATTGGCAAGAAAGGTATAGTTTCATTATACTGGTACTGCAGGACGTACTTATTTAAGTGATTGACAGACTTGATATTATCTTTTCGCCTTCTTGACTATTCAATAGTTTTAGGAAATAACTCAATTTGTTCGAGAATACTTTGCTTGCGCTACTGTTAGCTACGAGTTGCTAGATAAGATGGTGTCATTTTGTGCCAACTCATCCCAGCAACAATTTCTTGGCAACATACTTTGCACGATATCATCTTGCGTCAAAAAGTGCCACTTTCGGAAGTCACATCGTCATGCTCTGAAATATGTTATCGAACAAGTATGTTGCTTTTCATCCAAAAGTTTTCCTAATCCAGTTGTTACACATTTTCCATTGTAAGTTTTTTTGATTTATATTTGCTTTGAAATTTTGAAATGAGTAAAAAAGTTATTCACGTACTTAGCTGGAAATGCGACATGCTGAAATTGACTGGCAATTGTACAATTGCTTGACGAATTCCATGATGGATAGTACCATATATGTAGATAGAATCTATTTCGATGAATTATTTTCAAAATGTATCATTGTTCAAGAGAATCGTCATCAGTTATCACAAGGAACCACTGGTCTTTCTTGTTGGCAGGTACCTTGTGTTCATTTTTAAAGTTCTTTCATTAATAAATTATATTTGTAGACTTCTTAGGTGAATGATGACTCTCTTTAAAAGGAAAAGAAGAGCAATGAAGTGAAGAAGAAAATAAGAAAATAAAGATAAAACAACAAAAAGACTCGAAAATATATTCTGAGCTACGCTGGTTCTAATTTGCGCCGTTTCTTGCTTACAGGCATCTTGTGATCTAGCGAATTATTTGTTGAAACAAGGTCGTGATTATATCAACGGAAATAATATTTTAGAACTAGGTGCCGGTTGTGGACTGCTTGGTATTGCACTTGCTGCTTCTGGTTTTGCCAAAAGCGTTACACTTTCTGACGGGAATGTTCATGTATTGAATATAATCCTCAAGAACATTCAGTCAAATTTTTCAGAGGTGTGTTAAAATATTGTAAATAAAGATGTGAAAATAATAGTAATGTTTATTTTGATTTTTACTTCCTCTATTTTTGTATCGGTAATTCTTCTGCTAAGCATTGTGCACCATATTAGATATGAGAACTTTTGTGAGAAATAAGACATAACAGAGTATATTGAAAACAGCATCCAGTATCTTTAAAGAATGATCACTTAGTAATTTGAGATACTACAGACTATTAATGATAAATATTAGGTTATTCATACAGAAAATTAAATGGAGATTTAAAAAGCGTCTTTTTTTCAGAAATGTAAGATATGTAACGTTATTTTTCTTGAATGGGAAACCATAAATGTGGAAAATATTCCTGTTGTACCGGATGCTATCTTTGCGGCAGGTTCAGAATTCAATTGACCAAATTAAAGTTTTAAAGAAAAGATTTTTTTTTATTAGAAGCACATTCACAATCAACAATCCAATGTTTGAAATGAAGTTAAATTTTTAGATGTTGTTTACGATACACTGGCAATAAAACCACTTGTCTGTGCCATCAGGAAACTTCTTATTGCATTTAAAAAAGAAAACAAGGCTGGTCCATGTTGTCTGCTAGCAAATACAATAAGAAACCAAGAGACTATGGATAAATTTATAGCTTGTACAGGTAGAGTTCAAGTCGACAGCAATTATGAAATGCAGCTTTATTCAGTATTAGGGAACTATATAGCAAGCACAACAATCTATTGGTTTTCTGAAAGACGCTGCTTTCCTTTCATTTGAGCCATACTGTTTTAGTTACTCAAATAAGCTATCGATGATTTGTTCAAGATTTAAATCATTTGGCTGTTTTGGTTACTCGACATTTTTCAGCCAAAAACGGACTTTCTGTGAAAAATTGTTTCACTTACGAGAATAGTGTCTTTAAATTTGCGAATGGAAATATAGAGGATCAGTCACTGTTCCCTTTCACGAGTACCGTTCAATGTCCTACAATATTTCATGAACTAATATTGAATGATTAAAAAGAGCAGAAAAATGGATTGTTAGTTTACTGATTGTTTTTAAAATGAGTGCTTCCTTATTTTTATAGTCGTAAAATAATATTATCGATGATGTAATAAGCCTTTATTATAATTTATGTTTTATGAGTTCTCGATGATTCATATTTGTACATTATAGTTCAGTTGCATGCACATTATTGCATTGATGTTGATTAGTAACAACCTGATTTCGTGCTGTGTTTCGAATATTTACAGATATGAGTGCTAAGATCCATCCAAAAATCGCTTCAAAAATATATGAATGTCCTTGTAATGGATTGAAAAAGATTGCACGATTTGAAAGATTGATGTTTATGAATAAAGTTCTATACTTTGTTTATTTCTGTTCAGTAATAATTGAGGTCATGACTACCTTTATCATATCTTACTTGTTCGCAAGATTAGTTGTCGATGTTGTTAGGGTGGAAAGAACAAGGCCTCGGAATGTTTCGTGTATATCTAGAACTAATTTTAAAAATCTTTCAGTTATCGATAATATATGATGTGATTGAACAGTATTGTCAATACGGTTATTCTTTTTAGATTTTGTTATCATTAGCCGAGAGTTGTACGGCTCGAAGTGCCAGGACTTATTCTAGACTTCATTGGGAATCCCAAGGCATTAAGTTTCTATTGCATAAACAGTATGGATAAATGTAGTTAGTAAAGGAGTTAGTACAGGAAATGAGACCTATTCTATCTTTCATTTGCCATATTACGTAAGATCCAGCAATATAATCTGCTCTCACATTCTCACATCAATTCATTTCATTTTAAAATTATATTTGTTTATTATGATTTCCAGTTAGTTGATTAATTGATATTACTGGGAATTTGTTATTATGTTTCAAAAAATATACGTTTTCGTTTCAAATAACAGTTTTGTAGCGACTTGTTTCTCAATCAGTTAGAGTTTATACTTTCACGATTTGAGCTCGAAGATACAATATTGGCCTTTTTAAAGGTTAAATACTTACTTTTTGTTGTAAATCCTATTTTTGCATTTAGACTTTGGCAGCGAGGCTAACCAGAAATGTTTATGCCACGTGGACTCGAAGCCAGTGGTGATGCCACTGCGCAACAAATGGAAGAACGCCGACGAGCTCAACTAGAAACTAGAAATGATGCTTTACGTTTTCTATTGATTCCGATTGCTTTGGAACTTGGTATATAATAGTTCTAAGCAGTAGAATCATATTTGAGTTTAAGCTGATAGTATCTGCGATGAAAATGAAATTATGAGAATGAAAGTTTCGTTTTGATTATTCTCTTTCACAAATTTTCTTTGGTAAATGATGAGGTATAAGAACAGAATTTGCTAAAAAAATGGGGATATTTGGGAAGATTCAAGTTTCCCTAATTTTCCCAAATTATGTGAACTTTGCATTTCTCTACCTTGTTCAAAAAATTTCAGGAACTCATTTTTGTAATTTGGTGCTTGGTTGGGATTGGATCTGCATATGAATTCGATAGAATACTCAAGTGAATATGTAATCCGGCAAATTTGGTGTTTTTTTAGAAATTTTCATTTTAAACATGATTGTCTGGTTATATTTTATTTTTAGTTTTCAGTTTTTGATTATTTCTATGATTGCATGACGCACGTGTTTTTTTCAGTATTATTTACTTTTTGAATGTTATGTTGTGATCATTGTTCATATAAAATTTCTTCTCAAAAACTATTTTTTTAATATTTTCGAATGTTCTACACGTTTAGAAAATATATCTTAATTTAAAAAATCGTTTTAAGAACGAAATTAACACTATGCAACTCATTTGTCAACGTATGAATTACCCATTCTTCCAATAAAAACTTTGTCGTATCCACTAACATTCAGACATAGCAAATGAAATTAAGCGTATAATATGCTCTGGATTATCTCTCTTTGGTACTTTAAGTTATTTCGTATGCAATAATAAGATTTTGCTAATTCATTTTTCCAACTCATGGCATTGCTTCGTATTTGTAACTGTCTAATGGAGGTAGAAATTTGCAGATCATATATTTTTTCATAACCAAGTAATTTAGGATTTCAAGAATATGGAAAAAAAATTTTCCGGAAAGGAATCTATGTTTGTTGAGCGATTGGCATATGTTGCAGATACATATGCTCTGGTGGCTTTTTGTCTGCAAACTTTCTTATATTTCAGATAATCGTTTTTTTTACCCATTGAATATCCATTTCTAATCAGGATGTCAATTTTGGCGAAGATTGCGGAAATCGAAGCCGAGGTAATGATAGTTGTAAACTATACAATGAAACAAGTTTTGGGTAGATTTGATGTATGAATTTTCCTTATTCATTGTGTGAATTCTTATATTCGTGAAAGATATTTCCAGGATTTTTGTGAGTGATTCATATCTGAGAACGGTTCATTCCGATGGAATAAACATTGTGAATAAAGAAGGGGTCTTGTGAAGTGTTTGATTTTTCAGATGGCTCGCACACAAAAAAACAAAGCCACTATGGGTCATTTGGGTATGCTGAAAGCACGTATAGCGAAGTTACGACGAGAATTGATAACACCGAAAGGTGGGAGCGGTGGTTCAGGCGAGGGTTTTGATGTTGCTAAAACGGGTGATGCACGAATTGGATTTGTGGGTCAGTTTTTTTCTTTTCTCTACATGAATTATGTCTGACAGAAATGAAGATATAGAATCATTAATATACTAAAGGTTATCCTTAGCTATTACTGGTCACCAAATTTGCATTTTGCCGAACCAGTAAAACAAAAATATTGAGGCGTCATTCTTTATATCAAAATATCTGCTAGTAGCTATATCAAATATCATATCTTTGCTTAATTTTTATTTAATCGCAGTACATCGCAGTTGTCTCTTCATAACCTTCATAAAATAACAAAAATAGTTCAAGTATTCAAATATTTATTAATCGAACAAGATATTGTGCAAATTATTTCTTTATATTGTCCAGATAGCATCATTGATTTTCTTTTTTCATAAAATTTTCTGAACTTTTTGTTTATTATCAGCTTTTATCTGCCCAAATCATTAATATTATTATAACTAAAAAACTTAAATAATCTGCAGGTTTACTACATGTTTTTTGTGGTTTAAGATTATCTAGTAATAAATTGGATATATTTTCCAGCACATGTCTCCAACAGCTTTGCTTTCGGTAATGCTATTTTTAGAATTTTTCTGAATTCTTTTGGAAAATTTTAAGTTTATTTGATGTAAGCTTCATTTTTGTTTTTCCTTTATTGAGCAATTTATTCAAATTTACTTCAATTTTTCATTATAAAACAAATGCACAAGATATTACGGAAATGTCTTTATTGGTAGGGCATATTATTTCTGACATTAGTAATAGGAACGTTCATTACAGCAACGACAGCAATCAAATAATGAATGAGAGTGATTAAATGATTGGAATATAAAGAACATATTATATAACTATAGAGTCAAAAACTAATTTCATGTTTATTTGGTTATGTTTTTTAAATCTAGATTTCATAAAATGTGATTTATATCCAAATTTTGAGATTTCCAATAATCTTTTTCGGAATTTCATTCCCAGTTTCAAATTCATTTTTTGAACAGAGAGCAAGAGAACTTTTCATCGTGTATATATGTATATAACAAAATTAGGCTTTTGGAGGACTGATCATGGAAACTTTCTATTTTTTTTTGGAGACTTTCTACTCGAGATCCAACGGGTTTCGTTGGGAAACACTAAATTCCTTATTGAAATTGCAAATCATGAAGGTTCATTTTTATACAATAATCTAAGAAATGATCACTTTAGAAAGCCCAGATAATATTTTATTGTTCCCATCAACGAATATCTTCGTAGAAGCAAATATTAAATTCTCAGTTATAATTACTATCTTTGAAAAAAAGAGATAGTTTAATGTATTTCTCATCATTTCAAATTTTTATTGCTATGAAATAAAAAGGAGGACGAATAATATTTATGCAAAATGTGTTTGTACATTTGTACTTTTGTTGTTATCATCTTCAAGTGATATATATATCTGTCATTAGCATTGAAGAATGCTAGAAGAATAGATGACAGTCTGTAAATTTGCATCAAATTTCTAGAAATAATTGAAATGAAATTGTAAGATCGTCACAAACACTATACCTCCTCAGTATTAATTGATAAGAAAATCGAATACTTGATTTGATCATATGAAATATTGAAAAAAATGAAAATTTCAATGACGCTTTCACTTCAAATCATCTATAGGTGCGAAACTAACAAACTCTTCTGGCGTAAGGTTATCGGAAGTAGAACTCATATTCAACGAATTCGATGGTAATGGTGATTCCTGTTGTTTGTAACATGGCTCACCAACGCAAACTTTGAATTGTTTTGGACGAACAAAAGATTGCATATCCAAATTTATTCCAAAATTCTTCTCATTTTGAGAAATTGCAGGGTCTTCCATGAAATCTTTGACTTTTTCTGTGCAGCTTACAGCAACAAACTCAGGACTCCTCTCTGTTTCTCCCTCTTCCTCGGCTTCTGATAATCTATGGTATACATCTTCTTCATAATCACTTTCGCTGGACCAGTTATCGATTTGATGGATTGTTCGCGATTCTTGGATGAAATGAATAGGTTTGTCATCTTTTGCAAAACAGTCTGAGGATTCTGGTTCTTGATGATAATCTAACTGATCTTTTAGAGTGTGACGTTTAGTTTCTTGATTTGATTGACATAATTCCAAATTTATTGTTTCTTCACTATAAGGATTCGCTGCATCGAACGATAATTCAGAAAAACTTGCTAAGCTGTAAGATTTATCTCGCAATTCTTTATCAGTCACCCAAGTTGATTCATTTCTTAATGCAGGTTGATTCCAGGTTGTTTCTAAGTGTTCATCAATCTTCGGTCCTTTCAAATTTAAAACCATAAGTTCAGGAATGGTTTCAGGTTGGTTACATGTTGCCATTAGTTGATTAGAGATTGATGTCGGCAATTTCTGCTGTTCAAAAAATTCGTTTTTTGGCTCATAGAAATAGGTTGTTGAATTTGAATTGTAATTCGAAGATCCTTTGGTAGTTTCTTCATTTTTCGCCAATATATTGGCATATTTTTGAGGTACTTCAACAGTATTTTTATTTTCTTGAGATATTTTGTTAACTTTTTCTGAGAGGGTAGAGTTCTTTTTTTCTTCTACATTTCTTGATTGGTGAATAGTTTTCTTTGGTTGTGGACCACATATTTGTGATTTGGGTTCATTGAGGGATTTTGAAGCATATATTACGAGTAGGTCAGTAGAAGTTTGTGTTGATAATGGTGCTTCTTCAGCTGGCAACTGTGATGGATCGCATTCGAACATTCGTCTCATTCGGTATGCATCCATAACTGCTATTTCTCCTGAATTTGAATTATTTCGTTCATTTTCTTCAGCAGCCTTTGTCTTCACAGCACTATGGATTTCATAACTCTTACTTATCTCATTTTGCTTGGATTCTATACAAGTACCGTAATTCGGCATTTCGAAAGCACTGTTCAGTTTGCTAACATTCTTCTTTGCTTGTCTTTTTGCGTAACAGTCCCTGAAATTAAGTGTAGAGCTTGCGGATTCAATTACTGTTATGCCACTTAACAACGTGATCATTAAATTGATTTCTTTTTTGGAATTATCGTTTCCAAGAAATTTTCGATACAGATTAGATGTTAGTTCAAGAAACATATAATTAAAACTTTAAAAAGTATAAATGAGTTTCAATCGGATCAAAAAGCTTTCTATACGCCCGTTGTCAAAATCCGTGGACAAGAAAATTACATAGTTTAGATACTGATCCGCATTTACGTTTAAAGCCTCAAAAAGGCGGCTCAAAAGGCTGAAACTGCGGAATTTATTTAATTCTAAAGATCTTCTAAAGATCTTGGCACGGTGTCCTCATACTTTCTTATGATTTAGATTCCATTTTATTTAATGTTCGATTTATATATTTCAATGAGTCTCTAGAGGGAGGAGATGGATGAAGAATGATTATATCATGTTGAGATCTGATAACCTTGTTAAAGAATTAGAGAACAAAACGAGAAATATTTGCTTAGCATGAATAACTCTGGTAACAGTAACTAGAACATTTTTAAATTCATTACAGATTTCATCTGTGGAAAAAGATTTCATCTGTCGATTAAAATTTTGCAGTAGAATAATCAGGAAAAATGATGACTTTTGATCTCTTTTAATTTTAGATAGTTGGCAAACATATTTGTCTTAATGAGTATTTACCTGTCTATTCATCTACTCTGTCCAAATTTTTGCAGTGACTGCAGGATTTTCCAAAAACTGAGAAGCATTGAATCAGAAAATAAAAATTTTTTTTAATCATTTGGAAAATGATGTCGTACTGACGGTGTCTCATAAAGGACGCCACTGTGTCTATTAATAGCTGATCAGCCTTGCAAAAAAAAAGCTTTTGATGTCTGCTTCTTTTTCATTTGATGATTAGGCTTTTTTAAACCTTGTTCAGTTTGCTAGAAACTTTTGGAATTTCCTTACTCAATATCGGCATTATTCAGTCCTTGCATTTTGAGTATCTTAATGAGTTAGGGAAACTGATTCATAAGATTGATGACTGAAACTTGCAAGGAATGTCAAGATTTGAATGATCGGACTTTAAACGTGTAAAGCTCAATTACAGTTATGCGAATTCAATTACTGTTATGCCATTTAACAATAACTTCGTGATCATTAAATTGATTTCTTTTTTGGAAATTATCATTTCCAAAAAAATTTTCGATACAGATTAGATATTGATATGATTCGTCCAGCTGAATTAAGTGAACTATTAAAGGAAAGGAGAAAATATTATAATACAACGGTAAACTTTGACGCGGTCAGAAAGCCATCCATAAACACACCGCGGTGAAAAAAAATACTTTTATGCAAATGGATGAAGAGATATAATAAATTATGATAAAAATTATGATATGTAATAAATGAAACTGAGCATTTTGTCAGAAAACACTGGATATTCCAAGAAAAATTTAGTACTTTTTTGTTTTTTAGATACCTAACTAACGTTAAACAAAGTTGATAATAGCGAGTGAATTGTTATAAACAGCTTCTAAAAGATAACCGCATAAGTTAAATAAGTAAAAAAATGGAGAGTGAATGATGGATGGATTTATCGCTTATTGGGTAAATTTTGTTTTAGATTTTGATGTTTACTTTCTTTCTTTCTTTTTCTCGTCACTGAAATATAATTTGTGTCTGAGAAAGTGCCGAAATTTTTTGATGAATTAAAAAAACATTAACAAATAGAATGAGAAACTTTCCTCCTAAAACTAACTGCTCTTGCTAATTCGTAATAATTCTTTGTCTTAGAAAATAAGTTAATTCTGGACAATATAAATTAACCGAAAGTACAGATATTGAACTTATTTTCTCATTTTGGAATTTGAGTGTGAACATGCGCCTTCCTAATAGTTTCGTAATTAGGGCAAAGCATGCTTCATTGTTTTTTTTTTCAAACTCTTCGAAGTATGAAATTAAAACAATAGGATACTTTACAAATACTATAGTTTTATTACATTTTAATGGGATATATTGAAAAAAGAAAACAAAATGATAGATTTAGTGTCAGTGATAAGCTTTAGTTTAATTAGAATAATTGATTTTAAATGAAGACTATAAATAGATTTTTATCTTGACAGTAGTAATGGATATTAAAATCTTGGGAAGTTATGCATATTCGTACATTTGTTATTTTATTTTTAAAAAGGAGTGAAGATTGCATGTATTTTTTTAAGTAAAGATTTAAACTTAGATTTAAAAATTCAAAACTTAAATGAAGCATTGATTAACTTTAATATGGATGGAAGAAAAGATGAAATATTGAAGATAAAGAAAATAGTTATTGACAATTGTGTCAAAACTAAGTGATAGGCAGCAAATTCTACTTTTAAGTTCATTTATTATTTAGTTGTTTATTTATTTATTTATATGTCTGAATTATTAGAAATGTAACAACAACCTGCACACTCGGACGGCAGCAATGGTGTAGGTGATTGTTAGAAATGTAGCAACAATGGATAAGATAAGCAGAAGGCCAAAATTATTCTTCTGTATAGTTTCGCGATCATTATTGCCTCGGTACTTTTCCATTATAGCCGTTTCAACATGTTCGATATGCACCCCACCAAGAATGCGGGATAGAGCAGCTAGTTGTGCCGATAGAACATATTTCACTTTAGCAGAATCCAAAATTGTCGCAGTACTGAGACTACTTGGTCGCTGACTTTTGGTGACGACGAAACCAATTCTTGTTGAATGTAAATTATTTGGTTTGATACTGAGTAGTACAACATTCTCCTATAATAAGCTGATGATTTAGAGACTAAAATATGTTTACTTTCGATTCTGATTTTTTTCTTTAGCTAAATCTTGAAATCTCCATTTCTAACTTCTTTACACGATGATATCCATTGTTGGCGTCAAATATTAATGCCTTAAAAGTTCTCTAAAAACTTATCTGTGTATAATTTAAAGAAGTTCAATGACCTAAATTAAATTTTAAAGAGATGCGATGAAGTGCATTAAGAGGATTTACAGATGCATTTGTTCGCAACAATTTAACTGGCGCTAATTAAATTTAATTTAATCGATCATTCATTGTAAGCAGATAAATCTTTTATCATTCCTTCCTTTAATAATAATTACCTTCTTTAGCCTAAGAGTGGTGGCCATACATTCATCAGCTTGTTGCTCGCAGTAGTTACTTACAACAGCTGCAATCCGACGTTTAAAATAAGATTCGTAGGTTTCATTGGTATGTAACCGGGCACTTAAATTGATACGCCTGATGTTCATTTCAATTACTGGTAATTCATCCAACTGAAAAACCCCATAATTTTATATTGTTGTTTTTATTAAAGTTTTCGACAAAAATTTTCGCAAAAATTGGTTAATTTTCAAATTCCTGTTTATCATCATCAAGTTAATACTGATGAAAGATTCCGAAAAGGAAAATGTAAGAAATGTTGTATTTAACAGCTAAAATTTGAAGAAATTGTTTTGCGAAAAAGCTGTAAATTCTGAAAACTATTTTACTACTTACTAGTAACATTATAAAATTTAATTTTAAGTTTTTGCTATATTTATTACTTCTCACAACAATTATCCTAAAGTCATTAGGACTTTTTTTTTGTGTTTGTGAAGTTTCTTTTTTTAATTTATACCTGTTTCTGACACATTCGATCAAGTCACCCCCACTAAAATCCATCAGATATATTTTGCTTTAAAAAACTATAAGGATTTAAAGGACAGTTAGCAGAACTTATAATAAGAAGTTTGAAATTAGAATATGCATTACGACATTCACTCCATCGGTTCTATATAATTGAATTTTGTCGGCGCCTCAGGTTTTCAAGTGGTTCTGAAGACTAAAGTTATTTTAGAAGCTAAAGGATGACATTCAATGAACTAACACTGAATAAGTTTTGAATATTCTGAATTTTATGGAAATGACGAGCAAATAGTTTATGTTTTCAGTTTTAATTTCTAGGTCTGAGTTAAATTCATTAATTGTCAATATATCACTGGCCTCTGAACTTTCAACTGAGGATTGAGTATTGCTTCTAGTAAATTTGATTAGAAAGCTAAGGGAAGCAAAGTTTGGCCAAGATTTTATCCAAAATCAGTTGATTCAAAATGGGACGAAGGTTTTTACGAAATCATTTCATTATACCCTTGTTCATGCGGGTTTTCGATGAATAGTCCCAAATTGATATCAGATAAGAGAATTGGATCTTTCATTTTTTTTCAACTTCACGTCCTTTTCCTCTCCCTTTCTGTTAAGTCCTAAGTATTTGTCTAATGTTTCCAGAAACCTTAGTTCCGAATCTCCTTAATTTTCGAACTCCGAAGATTATACAGTATAAATTCAATTTTTTCAGAGAAAATAGAGTTCCATGGTGAAATTGGTTAAAATCATTGGGAATTTTGCTATTGTGTTTTGGTAGGAAATTAGAATGCATATCAATTTCTAAGCTCTTTATGCCATAGATACTTCCTCACTACCACTTCATATTTTAATATAATGGCGTTGGAATGTTTTTCATCCGTGAAGCATTCATCAGAGCATCCATGCTTAAAGGAAATAAGCCAGAAAAATCAGCTGAAACATAAATATTCCAAAATTATACTGAAATTTAAAATCAGATATACCTCAATGAGTTCATTGCATAGAATATAGTGTTTTAGTAAATTACCCGCATTCTGTTGACAAACACATACAAATTCGGAATCATTGTTGCATAATAAATCATTATGGATTACTGGGGAAATAGTAAAGATAGCAGTGGTAGTAGTAGTAGTAGCAGTAGTAGTAATAATAATAGCATTAGTAATAGTAGCAGTAGTAACTGGTGAATATTTAACTTTCTTTGATCGGATGGAACCGGAAGCTGATGGATATAAGGCCACTTTATGAGAGATGCCTTTATTGGTTGATGCTGCTCTCAGAGGAAATTCATCACATAATATGTATAAAATAAAGAATAGTAATGGGATTAGGTGCATAATAAAATGTTATGAATACAATGATAGTAATGATAGTAATAAAAGCCAAAGGCTACCTTAGTTTTAAGGTTGTAATCAGGTCTTACCATTATCCATGCGCCATTTTATAAAGTCTATGACAGCACTATTGAGAGATAAGGCTCATGTGGTAGGTCGATCCCCTATTTCTGCTGCAAATGCAGCTGCTATATTCGCATGTCAGCAAAAAATTTCAATCTTTAAGGCAGACAGCATATACACATACCCATACACAGAGAGCATATTGTGGCATAACTTAATACTGATAAATAGAATGGAATTTTTGAAGTCCATCTTTTCGCGTCTCAACTCCCTTCCTTTATTCGCTCTTTCTCACTGCGAACCTTCTTCTCATCGCCTCTTCCATACTGGTCTTCCTTTCTCCATATATTCCCATAAATCTGCTTGGATAGCCTTAGATTTGGCCTCTCATCTCCTGTCTCCATTTGCCTATATCATCTCATTCCAAGCTTTCCTATCACTTCTATCTTTCCACTCAATATTCTCCCTATCTATCTTACTCCAATGAAACTCATATTCATTGCTGTTAAAGTTCACTGTGGTATCGATAAACGTATACATATATATATATATTTGTATGTATGGGAAACAACGACAGCTTTATAAATGCCAATCCATATGAACAAATAAGTACAAACAAACATGTTGATTAAATCATCTGACCTTTGACCTTATTATATTGTCTAGAATATATTGTAAATCTACGCATATTTCGAATTATCGAAGGAATGCATTTAGATAATTTTTTTCGCAGATTATCCTTCTTTCTACTTATCCTTTGGTTTAAATATTCAGTAATGGACAGCTGTATTACTGCTTCAGTAAGTAGAATTGGAGAAGTTTTCCGAAAAACAGACATGTAAAATCATATCATTCTATCGAATAAATAATATGTACTTTATTTAATAGGTTAGTGGCAAATTTTTAAAAATAATTGAAATTCGCTAACATTTGAAGTCTTTTCAAGAATTTAAATATTTTCAATTCAAAAGAACCCAAAAAATATTTGAAAAAACATAAGAGGCGATGAAATCAACTGAAATTCTATCGTCGGAACAATGCCTTCTTTAAAGCAAACAAATACAGATATATTACATTAAATTAAAAATATGAGTTAGATGGATCAAGCGAAAAGCCTTTGTAGAGATTGCCTAACATAAAGCCTATTCGTGAAAATTGATAAAAGTGATGGAGTTTATTATTTTATTGAACAGTGATACATTTTACAACGAATTACAAGTTATTCTATTGTTAAACAGTAGCCATAGCACTCCACTTACAATAGTTTTCTCAATTTATTTCTTTCGTTAGTAGAATTTATTTACCATTATTTTTTGAGCACTTCATGAAAAAATATTTCAAGGCTTAAAGTTCAAAAAATCCAATCCTGCAACTTAATTGGAAGATATAATGAATTAGAAAACATAGGAAGTAAAGAGGTGGAAAAAAGGTGTGAGTGAAAAAACAAAAACCGAAAAAGGTAAAGAAACTTTTTTCTGAACGGAAACTTAGATTTGGTACTTTAATCCTGTAATTTTGTTAATAAGGCGAGGAAAACTGGCGGAATTTTGGGGATTTTTTATTAGAAATTGAAAACATTATATGAACACTTTCAGAGTAATCACTAAGTTTTCTTTCTGAAAAGTAAAATTTACTACATATATTATTAGTATATCACTCAAAAATGTTATTCCGCTTTTTTGCAACTGAAGTAAAGTAGATAGAAATCCTTTGATTGCTTGTGGCTAAACTTCATTACAGAATAAATGTCAAAATATGTGTACAAGTGAAGATTTCTTTAGTTCTTTAATAAAGATGAATGGTCACTAAGCTTCAACTAGATCACATATTATATAATATCTTTTCCTCATAAGAAGGATTCTAATCACGCTTAAATTTAATTCATAGTCGAAAGTAGACACTGCCATCTGTTACCAGTATTAATGATTGCTCGAAAACTTCAAATTTTTTTGAAATATTGATCAGTCGGTTAAACTTAGCTGGAGAATTGTCTTTCTTCCAGGTTTTCCGTCAGTTGGTAAATCGACGCTATTATGTAACCTTGCCGGTGTTTACTCGGAAGTAGCAGCATATGAATTCACTACTCTCACGACGGTACCAGGTGTCATTCGCTACAAAGGTGCCAAAATTCAGCTATTAGATTTGCCTGGAATCATTGAGGGTGCAAAAGATGGAAAGGGGCGTGGTCGACAAGTGATTGCTGGTTAGTCTAAAAATCATATACGAAGCCCTCAGTTGTATCATTTTTATGATTTTATTGTATCTTACCGATTGTACTGAATTCAAATGCCTCGTAACTTATTGTTTTAAGTAGCACGAACATGTTCGTTAATTTTGATGGTACTTGATGTTATGAAGCCTCTGCAACACAAAAAATTGCTTGAACAGGAATTGGAAGGCTTCGGCATACGATTGAACAAATCACCGCCAAATATTGTTTTTAAACGTAAAGAAAAAGGCGGATTAAATTTAACTTGTTTGGTAAGACATTATTATATTTAGTAGTCTTACTAACAGCCATCACTGTTCCTAATGTTTTTGCAAATTGTACCTGATACTGCCTTTAATAATCTTACTCTCATCCACCATTGATTGCCGTTTCTAGGCTCCCGTGATTTGAGCTCTTTAACTATGCGACCCAAATTATATTAATCTGCTTGATGTTGTTTTAAGGCAATTTGTATTAAATTGAAATTACTTTAAACAACGGTGCCTCAAAACTTTATTCTTAGGCTCCACAATCAGAACTGGATACGGAGATAGTAAAAAGTATTTTAGCAGAATATCGTATACACAATGCTGACGTATCTCTAAAGTATGATGCCACATCGGAGGATTTAATCGACGTCATTGAAGGGAACAGGTAAGTAGACTACGAAATGTTACTTTTTTGATGATGCCTTGAGTAAGGGACTGATGTATTCTTAACTTCCCTCTCCTATATTGCTTTGAGATCCGATTTAGAGTCTGCATTGCCTTTTTGACCAGGTCTCTGGATTAAATATTTCCAAGCTTATGATCCATATATTGCAGGATTTATATCCCATGTATATATGTTTTAAACAAAATCGATCAAATTTCAGTAGAGGTAAGGCCGTCTTTTTAAGATTTGTTTTAAGAGAGATTTGTTCCCAGTTCTATTCCTAGATAAAATTAATTTTCAGGAGTTAGACATAATATATAAAATCCCCCACTGTGTGCCCATTTCTGCGCATCACAAATGGAATTTTGATGATTTGCTAGAAAAAATATGGAATTATTTAAATCTCATTAGGGTGTAAGTTTACAATTTTCTCTTATTTATTCAAACGCTTCGGAACGAAAAATTGGAAGTTGAAAATTTAAACACTAGATCCAAGTTAGCAAAACCCGGTATTTCTTATAGAAGTCTGTAACTTGTAGACAAATATCTATAATTTTTTTATAACCGAAAACAAACTAGCTGGTGGTAGACGCAGAAACTATTTTAGATACACCAAACCGAAAGGACAGTTGCCTGATTACAATGCGCCCATCGTACTACCGGCAGAAACACGAACTGTGGATGATTTATGTTTCAAAATTCATAAAACTCTTCAGAAAGACTTCAAATTGTAAGCTATTTTCAAAATCCTTTCTTCAAGCTATACGTACGGCAAATAAAACGCAATGTCCCTATAAATCTATCGCTTTATATACTAGAAGACGCATTATACTTAATTTAGGCGTCATCATTAGTGGCGTTTATCATATTTTGATGCCACGACTTCTCATTTCAGTGCATACGTTTGGGGAAGTTCAGCGAAACATAATCCGCAAAGAGTGGGGAAAGAACACGTATTGAATGACGAGGATGTCGTACAAATCGTCAAGAAGTAGTCCTTTTCTCACTTTTTCATCCTTCTTTTGAAATGTAATAAGTAATCTAATAACGTACCCTCTGACACTGTTGGATGTGTAAGCGTATCGTACTACAAAGCCTACAAAGCGTATAATATGCTTACACAAATTTCCATATGATTCAGGCTATAACAGACAATTTGTTCTCTAGGTGCTATAACAGAGACCGATTATCCAAACATCGGGAGTTTTCATTAAAATTTGAATGACATATTTTCCAGTCCTCCTATTTGCTTGTTTAAAACCTTTGATGGGTCGACTTTTATAAAAAAGTTACTAATTCTAATTATCTAATTCAGACAAAAGCTTATTACATTTATTCAAATCAATAAAAATACTGATATAAGGTACCCAAAACGTTTATGTACACCAGATTATTTTATGTAGAAACAGCAATATATTATCACGAATACGGATGACTTTTCTTTAATTCTATTTGTGTTGCAGGGTTTAAAAAGAGAAGCTAACCACTGCACACTCGTCAGTCATTCTTTTATCAGCAGCTTTCTCCACCGACAGTTCGTGATTTCAGTTGTTCCTTAATGATTTTTCATGCTTATGGTTTAAAACTGCTCAATTTTCGGAAAGATCTGAGAAAAAAGGAAACGTTTTCTTAAACTAACTAATTTTACATCACTATATACGGCATACTTTGATTATTTCCTTTCGTCGCAACTTTTCTGCTTCCGAGTTGAGGAGCTGTTCAAATTTCTGTTGTTTCTTGATGTTATTAAACTACAAAATAATAAGCTATGTTAAAAATGAATAAGTTACTAATTAAAAGCATTGAATTTTACAGAGCAGCTCGTACCATTCTGTCGATACGCACATGTGAAACAGAAATGGAACAGAGCTTTTGATCAACAATGAGCTGATTGAGAGTTCAGCTATTAAGAATGGTTAAGGGTTCAAAGTATTGCATTTAAGTAATTCGCATTTATCTGAAACCGAACATGCGCCTATAGCAAGAAACTGCAGTCAATTATTTATTGGTTCTCAATCAATGCTTTCTAGTCTTTTGGTGAAAGAATCACTAAACTTTGATTTCAGTAGTAAAAATAACCTACTGCAATATATTCCGTTAAATGTTAAATATAAAATCACCTGGCAACGATCTCTTTTATACCTCTCCAATATATTGCTGCAAAGGCCATCAAGTACTTCCTTTACATCGCCCGGTATGCGAATCTCTCTTTGTTTCATTTTTGCTACCGGAACATCAACAAATAAACTGAAAAGAGATTCGAAGTGTTAATACAATCCAAAACAGCACTCAAAAGTAAGAAAATTTCAAAGCTTAAATTTCGAAAAAAGATCACCTACCTTGAATTGATTATATCTTGCAGTCGTGGTAAACACCGAACTTCTGGCAAGAATATTGAATTTAATAAGGGCACTATAAAAAAATTTTTGCGAATATATGAATATTTTATCTTATACGATTAATAAATCATATTTCAAAATAGATATGTTAGGCTCGCGAAAAATTTACCCTTTAAAATCAATAGAGGAAGTACCAAAATATAAAAAGATATTTAAAAAAGAATATAAAAAGGCTAATGTCTAAAGTCTGAGTTTGATTTTATTCCCCAAGCTCATCATTAATTTATATGGACAGAAACTTACGGAATGTAAGCGGTACGACGGCAAGTGCTTCATTCGCTGAATGCATGGGAAACGTAAAAAAGCCCGTAAGTAGTTCGAATAGAAATTCACCGAATGTAAACACGAACATATCTTCGAGTGTCTGGAGAAATTTTGATAATTTCTGTTTTTAGAATTAGCAGTACTCATTTTATGCAATCTAATTTACGTGAGTTTTATTTTCTGCAAATCAAAATTCCGGAATTTGCACTACCAACGGATGTGTCACATAGGAAAACAAAACTGGAAGAACAAAGTTCAAATTTTCTTGGAAAAGATTTCTGAATGCAAATGTCCTAAAAATAGACTGATTAAAATCCGATGATGAAATTTATTTTTTTTTGGGATTTATGCAAAATAATTCTTGGAAACTCACATTAATAGCCTGAGAACACAACATTGAAGGACGTCGAAAACTTGGTTGTCCGGATAGGACTGCAAAGATTTGGAAATTTAGAAATAAATAAATTTCAAAAAGTCACATGCTTTACCTTGATCCAAATCAATTAGCTCGCAACCGAATTCTGTGATGACAACATTCCCTGCATGAGCATCGACTGAAATAAAATTTAAGTAGAAATGCATGACACAATTCAAGCTGAATTCTGTCGTGTCCGCTAATTAATGCAATTGTGCGATATTTGGGTGTGAACATTAAGATGAAGTGAAATATGAAATAACACTAATTAAACTTTAATACATTCTTTGCAAACGTAGTTGGCATTTTTTAAATCCGGTTAAAAAAGTAGTGAAGATATAAACAAGTGCTTAAATGTCGAAAGAAACGAAAGAAATAAGTACAGATCATCAAGGGAATGTTACCTATTCATCAATTTTATACAAAATTTTAAAAATGAACATACGATATGGCACAGAAATTGCATTTAGTAATGTCAGTGTTTCAAGCATCTGTCGACAAATTAAGCGAATATCATATGTTTCAAATGAGCAAATAGAACTATCCATTCTGTATTTCGTGAAAAAATCGTCCTTCCAGCTGCTCTAGAAACAAAAAAATTTTAAGATTATCATTCCATAGAAATCTCTCAATTGTGATTAATTGAAAGATACACTTGAATTAAACTGAAAATTTGAAACAGTTCAGAAAATCATGTCATTACAAAGTGAGGAAAACCTAACCTTATAGAGCCGATCACGGAGTGTTCCTTTTTTGAAAATAGGTCTGATATATATAATTCCGTTATCATTGGCCCAGCTTGTTACGCTGTCATTTAAATGTGGACATTGCAGAGTCCGAAAGAATTCAAGTGCACTGTTAAGACTTGCCACTGTTCCGAAACGATCTGGACCATGACGGACGCCAGAGAGCATCAGCTTTGAAGAACCACATCTGATTTCATAGTGTACTTTGCCAGCTCGCCAACCACAATGTTTTCTTTGTTGCTCAATGATCCACTGACGTTTATCACGCAACGATAAAAGTATCCACTCGTGCAAACCTATAAAAATAGGTTTATAAATAGGAAATTTCATCATGTCAATTTGAATCTTACTGAAATTCAAATAAATAATAAAAACAGAAAATTAAACACTTTTGTACCTGCTAATTAAACTTTCTAAGCTCACAAGGACATAATGTCTGAATGAGTACTGCAATTTCCCAGTCACTTTCTAAATTGCGAATCTTAGGTTACAATTAAACTACCTTACCAATGTAAGTTTCGGTGGAGCTTTCGAGAAAATTGGCTACTGTTGGGCATGCATATAGGATCGGATGTAGGCAAATGGCATCCAGAAATTCCTGCAATCAGTTCTACACAACATATTTTTGCAACAAGGATTTGAAATAATATAATAATTTCTCACTTTATAACTAGAAGAAATCACATTACAAGTTTCTGTCAAATTCAAGTTTGTCGGGTTTCTGTCAGATTCTGAGAAAAATTCGCTCTAAATCTTTATCGAATTCAGTCCAACTCTGCTTAGTCAATAGTATAAATACATGTTTAAACCAATTAGCAGATTGCAAATCTTAGCTTATTTGACAAGTTGAAAATATGTCACGCGATTTATTAATGAAACTATTCCAGAAAATATTCAATTAAATTTTCTAGAAACAGTCCTTCTTTCTTTTTTCTAATTTCCATTAATTTCTAGTGAAATAAAAATCCACACCTGCAGCGCCTGCATACGTTGTTTGATGAATGCTTTTTTTGCATTTCCAATGAACTTTTTCGGAGGGAATCCTAAATCAGCACCAAATTTTTCAATCTGTGAATTCAATTTCCTGAAAAACTGCTTCAGTAATAAATGTAAGATAAGGACTTCTGTGATTTTCAAGAAAGAAGTCGAAGATCACTTCATATAACAGCTATGTTAGAAGTAAAATGATATACCGAAACTGAGCATAACGCCGCTGGATGCGCCACGACTTTCCGACTTCCAATTGATTGCTCACTTCTATCACATATTCCTCAAATTCATATAAATTTCATCAAGACTAGGACCAAATTCTTAGAAATAATAAACTTCGGTCTTTTTTTCCAAAGTCTGGAATACCCTTTCAGAGGTATTTATTTATTTCAGTTGGTATTGGAACTTATGCAAGCTGATTTTTTCCTGCAACTAAACCAGAAACTAGTGTCAAATGCTTTTTGTTTCAATTATGTTGCTACACTCTCCGTTGTAGAAAGTAAAACTAATTAAACTCGACATCAGTTAATTGTCCAAGACAATTTCCAAGACAGTTTCTATCAAATTATAATATAGATTTAGACCAAACAAAGTACGGTGAAATTTTCCAACAGTACGTTTTAAATCAATTGATGGCTCTTTAGCATTTGATAATAAATCAAGCCTGAAGAAGTCACATATGGATATGGATAAGTATGGATAAGTAGTTCAATCTGCACAGATTAACTGCTATCTTAAAACACGAATTCCACACCCATGCAACTTAAGTCTAAATGTGTATGCGGTATGGCTCCTATATTCACTAGAAGCTAAATACAAACCACATGGTCAGGTAAGCGTATCCAGTCGATTAATGTGCATTTCATTGGATGAGTAACGTCAGCGCTTACTATTGTACTGTCTTGCATTACTCATCTTGCGGAGAATCTGAAATGTGGATTTTAAACAAAACTTGAGAGTATGACTTAGCGAAAATTCCCCCTTCTTTCGAATAACTGGAAAAGACCGAGAAGTGTGGAAAGAGAATGGATCAACTGGTTCTTGAACCACCGCTGGCACAACAACAACCCACCCTCGCCAACAATTCACTTTTCACTCCTTCAACTTTGTACACTTGATCCGAACAACATCGACGTTCGAACCAAATATATTCATACAACTCATTGGTGTCCGAACTTCGTGTAAAATATGGTTTACATAATCTTCGGACGCCGTATCTTCATACGACTTTATGGTTAACTTTCCAGACGGCGTATTGTGGTCAGTTTTGGTACTTTGTTAGATTGGTCTTGTGAGATTTCAAGTAGACCTGTTATTGTGTGGATGTATTATTCATGATAATTACCCATTTTTGCCAGAAATTTCATGGAACTAATCCAAATTTTATGATTTGACATAGGAATGACGGTTCTCCAACAATTGAAATTTGGAACAATAATGTTTTTCATTAGATTTATATATATTTCCAATATTTCCCGTATTATCTATGTTGGGACAGATTCTTAACCTATAAAGGGTTCTTAAAGTTTTCTTTAAGCGGGTTACGATCACCCTCCTATAGGACAAAAAACCAATTAGTGAAATGAAAGATAGATGCGTTATATGTGGAATGTGCTGTCTCTTGGTCCATAGTAATTAATGGATTAATTTTGATAGTTCTTCGAAAACTCGATTTAACGAGAATAAGTAGATTAAAGTAATCCGCTTTCTGTGGCCGACTATTTTAATCTACCTATTTTAGTTAAATCGAATTTTCGAAAACTATCAAAATTATTCAATTATGGAAATGCTTCTAAAAGATAACTTATGTTTATGGCACGTTACGATTCTTTATAATTTAATTTGGTAATATTTTCAGTAAATTTGCTTTTGCTTTATTTTAGATTTTTGATATATGTGCGTTAGAAGTAGGATATCTTTTTTAATTTGAAGATTTACAGGATGTAATGACCTCATCGTCATCAACTCGCTCAACATTTTCCGGAGTAAGTTCTCCAAAATTTTATTTGCTTTCGAATTGATTTAATCTTTTTGTGTCACTGGGAGTGAAGGCAAAAATCACCATTAGTAAGCGTTGCTAGTCCTTTGTTTAATCAGAGATGTTTCAATCATTGATAAAAGTCAGCACAAACGGTATCTGTCGACGTGTTATCAGAAATATGTGAATTATCAAGGAATTGTTTCAGCTTTCGGAAGGCTGTTTGAGTGAGGCAGGTTCTAGTGGATTACAGAATCAAAGTGCCACGGAAGAATCACAAGAAGATTGTCCAAAATGCTTGGCAATGAGATTAAATACCGTTATTGCTGAGGAAGCTTTAGCTTCCTTAAGTGGGCAGTTTAAAAATCTTCAGAAAGAACTAAAAGTTATTACTTCGCGTTATTATTTCTTTCATTAAAGTTTTTTGGAATTAAAGGAATAAAGAGTATAATGGTGACAAGGAGCTTTTGGAAAATTAATTCTTTATAATTCCAATTTCGAACTTAAGTTCTCATACAGTGATACATGATTGAAACTTTAATAAAAACAGTAGTTTGTTGGGAGCAAAACACACATCACTGTGTGCAGAATATGAGAGTTTGAAATTTCTAAAGATTTTTCATTATTAACAGAATAATTTAAAAACATTTGTATGATTCTTTTTAGAAAACAGAACAGGTATCCAAAATAAACGAAGAGCAGGCGAAATATATTGATGAGAGGCGTTCAAAGCTAGAAAAGTTAGAAGCGGAACACACATCACTGTATGCGGAATATGAGAATTTACGGGTACACCTCTACTTTTTTCTCTCTTCGCCTTTCTTATATTTAAAAGTGTTTGTTAATTTTTCACTGAATTCTAAAAATCATGAATTTCAGATCAGTCATGACAGTCTAAAAAGGCAGTATGATGAAGTGGTTGCCACAGCGCGGAGGAATCAGGTTTGTACTGATCCATTTTTGTTTGGAGCTTGGGGGTTTACGATATATCATTCATATATTTAAATCTTATTGCTCCAAATGTGATGAAATTAGAGAATTATTGCTTAAAAAATAATGATGGACTTTGGGTGCTTATTTCCTATCAGAGGAAAAAAATCTGCATTGCGCTATTTAAGTTTTGGATAAATTTTAGCGTTTAATCGAAGAATCGGTGAAATATCATGAAACTTGCAAAGTTGCTATGGAGAATCTCATGGCTGAAAAGGAAGCACGTCAAGAGCTGCTTGCAAAGTATTTAAAAAGTGTCGAAGCCGCGTCAGTAGGTTTTCTCAGCTACGAATTTTTGAGAGATTTTGTGGCAGAAAAGCTTGAGCAAAAAACTTACCTTAGTTTTCTAGTATTTTTGTTTCAAACGAACAATGGGACTGTAGCTCAAAATTTTCACTGTCCTTTTAGAGAAGTAGAATAAAACTTGAAAAACTTGTAGATCAATTCGATCTGAAGATTTGTTTCATGTCTTCATAAACATTGTTGATCATGGTTATTGTGAAATAATATGCGTAGTTTGAGAGATCTTATTTTTGATTTAAGTATGACATATTTAGAAATTTTTTTTTACCAGTAGTGATTAGCAGGTAACTTGTAAAGCAGACATCAATTGAATCTGGAAAATTTACAAACTCATTTCCAAGACTTTGCTTTTTTGAAGAAAATAAATGATTCAATGAAACAACTGGAAAAGAAATGTGTTCAACTACAAGCAGTGAATGAAAAATTAGAGCCGTTCAAATATCATTGTCCAGTAGTGCTTCGGCTTCTTCTCGAGTTTGGTAAATATTGCTTTTATATTTTTCTACATCACTGTTTCAACAGCATTGTGGAAATTGTGCTTTGTATACAAATCCAGTAAAATTTCTTTCGTTTTAACTTTAATAAGTTCAAGGTTTTATCCGTTAAAATAATTAGATTTGCGTAATCATTCATCACAACTTTTGGCGTAACCTTTGTTCTTATGTATAGATCGAGTTATATGATCGGGACTTCTTACTTTTCTGAATTGTTGGAAATATGTTGAATTAGACATCTCTGAAATGCCAGAAGAACACTGCTGAACGGCATCACTTGAATGATTTAAATAGTTAGAAAAAGAATTAAAAATTCTGCCATGTCATTTTGCAGGTGAAATTATTGAAAATAATGGTTTAATGACAAAATCACTACAAAAGCGTCTTGCGCGATATAAGGATAGAGATGATTTACGTGAATATTTACTTAGAAAGACGAGAAGATTGACGAATTTAAGTGAATCAAGTACAAGAACAATCGAAGAAAGTAGTGATGATGGTATAATTTTTCTCATATTAATCATTCAACTCAGCCAATCAAAATTTCTTTTTCTGACGGAAAATCTAAAGCCGAAAGAATTAACAACGCATGATATAAGTACCACAGGATTTGGATTGCGATGAAACCATGGTGGAGTTCATGTCATTCATCAGTTGCTCAGGCTTCTAGCACAAACATATTTCCAAAACATATTATTCAAAGAATCTTTTTCAGATGAATTAGCAAAGGGCGTGGAAAATTTACTGTTGACGATTGGTAGTCCACCTCGTCTGAGATCGCCAAAAAAATCAGCTAAGGATGAAATAAGAAATGTTGAGAAAAGTAATGGTCATTTAACAAACTCAGTGGAAGCATTGAATATTAAAACTGCTGAGAAAGGTTATATATTTGAGCATAATTGATTTTTCATTGCTGTAATGAATAAACGCCGTTGCTAATCGACTTGTATGACTTGAAAGCTGGTTCATGGTTCTATTCATCGAATTGTTTTATTTAAAGTGCACTTGAGGTGGATAACTAATTGGGATTAAGATTTTTGTTATAGTTATACTCTATGTGGCTACAATCTGATGACTGGTTTTGTATATTTAAGATTAATGCAAAAAATCTTTTTTCAGGAAATTTTTCGAAGAAGCAGTTAGCAAGTGCTGAAACTCTACACACGTCTCTTCCGAGGATTCAATCTAATTCGTAAGTATATCCTTTTACTTTCATTGGTTACAGAATAAATGCTGAAGAGTTTCTTCTATTTTAATTGTACTAATTAATTTTATGGGCATCTAGAGCTTATTCTATTTTCGGAAGCCATTTTAAAGTCAACTTCTAATGGACGATTGAAAAACTTGGAAATGGAAAACAAAATGTATTACTCTCAGGATTTTAGGTCGATGATATTTTATAGTCGTCGTCTAAATTCAAGCGTTTCTCCCGTACCAGTATCTGTTTTTATAATTCATTGCCAAAAATATACAAATGGCATATTTTCCAGCTTCAACCTTCTCTTTTAGCGTTTCACTTAGTTTTGATTGAAAATGAACACTGTCTGTCCATTGAGATTGTATTCTATTGATAGGTTTTGAATGTATCATTGTCGAAGAGCAAATGAATTTCTTCTATGATTAGTACATTACTCCAGTACATGACTTAATGGTTGATTCCTTTTCACAATTGTCATTTTTTGTAATTCTAAGTATTTACTGATTCTTTTCCATAGTTAAGTAGATCCGTGATCTGTCCCTACTTCAATTTAATTCCTTCTACAGGAACTATTATACAGTCTACCCGATCCCGAATTGCTAATTTTGTTTATTGACTTTTTCCTTATTCGTTTTTTTATTTTTCTACCACTGAATTACTGTATCTTATTTTGACTAAATCTTTTGACGACTATATGGAGCGGTTATGAGCCATTGATATGTTAAGAACTTTATTTGATCTTTAAAATCCGTATTTTATCATTTTTTCAAATGAATAAAACCTAAATAGGCAATTCAATTTTCGAGTCGATAAATAACTCATTGAATATTAGATACAACGTTTCGTATTTTGTAAAATTTTTTTGTTTCTTTTCTATACTCCCATAACATGTGGTCACGCTTGTTTCGTAAAAAATTTTTTTGACTTCTCTTTTCTCAATATCAAGTTTTTTTGTGATCACTTCAACTTTTGACGAAATCGGCGGCGAGTTTTCCTTTTAGTTATACAGAATGACCATACTACAAACTTTACGGAAATAGTGTTCTATGAAATCCATATGCATATATAATCGGATTAAAACGCCCACTGTTTGATATGCAGTGAGGAAATAATTTTTCAATTATACGGTTATTGCTAGAGAAATAATTCTGGAGTTTCCCTTCATATATTATCTGAATTTGTGGGAAAATTGTTATTTAATTAGCGTCAAAATGAACATCGTAGTTTGGTATTTTAGAGATTTACATGTGAAAAAGATGCAAACATATAACAAGCAACTGGAATTAATTGAAAAGCGGAAAAAGCAAACATTATATACGGATATGGAAGAGAAAAAAGGTAATTTTAGAGAATCTGTTAAAATTATTGTGCAGTTATCTACATCGAAAACTTTCCAGCTCTAGCACTTTCTAATAATTTTATGAAATATTGATCAAATTTACATTCGCCAATATATTTTATGCCGAAGATTTTTTTATTTGAACATTTCGAAGTTTTTTGTGTGATGAAGTTCTCCTATCTTATTCAATTATTTAATTACTATCAGTTAATTGTTTCAGTTATACCTGACGATTTTATAAACGTATGTATTCCAAGCACTTCATCTCCAACAAAGGTAACACATGGGTTATCTCTTATTTTGCACATTTTTTTGTTTCTCAAATTCGTTGGTGTTTGCGATATGCAGTTTTCTAAGAGTGAGTGTTCTTTAATCTTAAAAAAAAAATTGCTTTTAGACAAACGAGGAACTAGCCGAAAAAGATATGCAGCGAGATGAATATGGGTTGCAAAAGAATATTCTTCAAGATATTTATGAGAATAATTTGAAATCTGCAAAAGAACAGACAAGCAAAAATGCTTCAGAAATGGAGGTCAGTTTCGATTTAGTCTTCAGTTTTCTACTTTTGTTTTAGTTCCTTTTAATTTTTGTATTTTTTTCTTTAATTGCTAGTTCAGAGTAGCGGAGGAAGTCCCTATAGGATGTTTTGGGAAGTTTGGAGCTCAGTTATATTAAATCCAAAAATAAATTCATGAGGGCTGCGCAATAACATACCGCAATGGTAATGTTTTATACTAATATGGATAATTTTAGACCTCGGATCAAAGCAAAGGAGAAAAACAAGTCTCTGAAAATGCTGAACGGCTTTCCACATGGCTTAGTTTTGCGCATTTGGATCCTCTGCTTCCGGAACTAAGCAGACCAACGTTTTTGGATGCTGGAACTTCTGAGGTATAATTTTTATTTTATAAGGGTCTTTGTTCATAATAATCAGGATCATTTATGTATTGAAATAAAAGCTTTGTTATAATTTTTGGTATCATTTTGACTATTTTTTTTAATGAAAAAATTTCCAGTTATCAGGTCAACGGAGTTCGGATGATTATATGGATAATTTGTTTGGACCATTGTCTCCTAGTATATCAAGCAGACGAACATCAGCGAGTTCAATTGAAGGTTGCATTACCCCAAAAAAGAAGATGAAGTCAAGATCCGAAATAACCAGCACAGCTGATGCAATATTAACAACGGCACAAACCTGCTTTTCAGCTGAACCTGTTGCGGGAAGTTCCACATATTCCTCTATAACAGCTAGTATGGTGCTCGCATCTGGAACATCCGAAGATTCTGGTTCATTGTGTTGTGTACCTGTATCCACTACGGAAACTGTTACAGTCATTCATGATGATCAGGCCGTGAGTTTTGTGTTAGTTAATTTCGTAACTAATGGAATTTCTCACTATCTGAAAGGGAGGAAGATATATTTTTTAATTACAAAATATACCGTTTTTTATAGACTTATAAAATGGCTTTCCAGATAATAAATGAAGATGTTTCATCCTATATTGGGTTGTTAGTACGGAAGAAATGACGGAAGTGAGGTTTATATTGCGGGAGAGAATAATTTACCTATATGATCTTAAATTCATCTTTTTAAAGTTTTATTGGTTAAAATGACTAGACAAAACTTATACATAGGAGTTGAATTTTTAAAGGCTTATCTCTGTGACTGCTATTTTTTTTCATTCTTTTCAGGATAGTGAATCCTTACAAAATCTCAGAGTCTTAGATGAAATCAAAAAAACACTCTCCGCGGAAGTCCATGTATCGACCGTTAGAAAAACGTCAAAACCTACTATTACTGCTATTGATTCAAAGTGTGCTATGTTATTAAGGTCACAGAGAAAACGCAATGGAGCTGATATCCAAAATGAAGATGAACATTTAGGAATTGAAGATGGCTCTTCGCAATTGTCAAAAACAATTACCGCAAAATGTACTGATACCAAAGAAGACCAGTTAGAGAAAAAACAAGGTTCCATGACACAGTTGTCAAGAAGTGAGGAAATGATCTCAGAAAGAGAAATATTCAGTAGGAAAAGTTGCTTAGAAGAGGAACAGAATTTCGCAAGACTACCAGAAGATATAGTGAAAAATGTTCTAGAAATGTCTAGAGACAAAAGCGCTGAGTTAAAAACTATCCAAAATGATCAGAAATTCGAAGAGTGCATTGATAATCCTATGTTACAAGAACGATCATTGCGACGCTCACCTAGAAAACAAGTACGAATTGATTCTTGGTCCTCCAGAGATAGCGAGGAATTGGTGATTGACGTTAAGGAATTCATCAGTATTCAAAATGAAATAGGAAAAGAAGTATTGAAGCAAGAAGAAAATGTGAATATAAAATCAGGCGAAGATGCAGGAAATGAGATTCTAAATGATAACAGTATAGCATCACAGAGAGTATCGGGAAAAGAGACTTCTGATTTGGCAATCTTGTGGACAAGGTTAGGTGAAAAGAAGTCATCAAAAAATGGAGATAATTCGAAGAAGCATGAAATTCCAAGCACTACAGAGTCAGGAAACCAAGTTGCTAAGGGAAAGCATAATGACTTTCGACCAATAACAACACGGATACAGAGGAAAGTAACACTGAAAAATGGGTTCGAGAATTCTGAGATTACAGTCCAGTCTTTATCAGAGAATGTTCAAATTGGGGAATCCAAAAAATTAGGCATTTCGCGGAACAGTAAACAAATGACAAATAAGGCAAGAAAACGGAAATTGGCCGAGGAAGAAGATAGCAACGCAGAAGACAAGTGGGAAGATGCCAATCAAACTACGGAATCTTGGCAAAAATCAAAAATGATTGAGACTCTTTATGGGAAGGAGCCAGTGGTATGCCATAATTTGTAATTGTTATTTTCTATAAAATTTCAGGTGTAATAAACTTACAAAAAGCAAACTTCACATTTCTTAAACTGATTTCATGATTTTGTCTAAAAAAATTAGAATTGTAGAGCGAAAACAGTGAGAAGGTGAACAAATCTATGACATCCACTATCAAAGAACATGGTTAGTTCGTAAAATCTCTTTCGCTTTCGTTTTTGCTTATTATTTCTTTGTATTTTTTTGGAGTATATTGAATTGTTTTAACATAGCTTCACAGAAATTGTGTCTCTTTTTTATTTTGTTTTAAGAACATATATGAATGCTTTGCAAGATTTTTCTTTCTAATTTTACTTCTGCTTTGCTAAATTTCAACTCGTGATTTACAGGAATAGAATTAAGCAATCTCAATAATGATGACGATAATCGATTGGAAATTGTTACAGATGATGTTGGAGTTTCATCTATCAAAATGGAAAATGCATTAGGTATTTGATTCCAAAGTGTTCTTATTCTTTCGGTAACTTTGAAAAACTGAAAATAGTTTCAATAATGCTGATAAGAAATCGGTGCATAAATTTAGGTTTTTCTAGGCAAGATTCATTTTTCGAAAAATTGCAGGGTCAGAGAAAATTAAGACAACAAAAGTAACGACCAAGGTTCATTTATTTCCATTCTAACATATGTATGTCTAGAATATTCTGAATACTTTTGTTTTTCCTTTGTAAATTGATTCTTCGAACTATTTAATGAGCCGAATAATGAAATTGCTTAACTAACTCTTCTGTTGTGGTTAAATTCATCACTTTTTGTAGAAATCGATCAATACCGTGAGGTCAGAAATGTACAAGAAGATGCATAGACGGCTTACAATGCAGACATTATGCATGAAGGAACTTGGAAGACTTCAAATACGTAAACCCACGGTAAGCAGTTTTGCTTACTTTTTCATTAATTAAATAAAATTATTTACTTCTTAAATTATTGAGCAGAATCACTCGAATTTTTTTGGGAAAGGGGTTTTATAATTTTGTTGAAGACTTTCTTTATGTACTTTAGATCACAATCTAAATCTCAGCTCTTTTAGTTTGAATTAGTAATGCCTGAACTCCTTGCCCGCTGATTCGCTGCTGTTCTGTTAAAACATCAATTTCTTGAAAAAAAAAAACAAAAAAAACAAAACACTCTAGAAATGCTATTTGATTTTTCAAATTTTTGTATATATAGATTCAACACCTTTAGATTTAACAAGAATCTGGATGCTTTAAGGTTCAAAATTCAATTGTTTTGTGCTGTAAGTCGTTACTTATGAATTGATTCTTGTCTTTTTTTTTAGAAAAAGAAGATGATTTCCCCATTATCAACGATAAAAAAAGTGGAGCTGCCAAACATTACACGACGGAAAAGAACAGCAATAATGCTTCCTATTGAAAAAGATGGATTGAAGAAAGCCAAAGTAACTGCTGCTAACTATGATAAGAAAATGTCTAAGTATTCTTTATCTAATAAAAACAGTGGCACACTATAAGTGAATGATGTTTAAATCGTTTGTATTGTTGATGCATCTTTTTGAAGTCTTATCTGCTTTCAGATCAAAATACGTATGCCATGCTTATTTGCTTTATTTGCAGAATGTAGCTGCGATTCAACATGGAGAAGTACGAGTGGGCAAAAGTTCGACAAAAATTCTAGTTGGGAGTGATGAGGCTGCTGTGATGTGTCTGTTTGATCAGGCACTTTCAGAAAACAACTACAATGACAAGTTACTTGAAATAATCCAGAAGTTCCAGACACCAGTTATTTCATCAATATCTTGCGAAAAATTAGCTGAATACTCTGTGAAGGTAGTTTTTCTTTTACAAAAAAGCATTCGTCTTTAGAAAAAATTTGAAAGTTTCCCATTGGACGGTTTATTGAAAATATGAAAACCCAATAATTTAACAGTACATTCGAATGATGTGTTTTCAGATGGAAGGCATATCCTAAATGCATGAGAATTTCTTTTCGTTTAGAGAATTATTTTTCTTTTCAGTTTATAAACAAACTTGATGTTGGCAATATGTGGCACAGTGTCGTGCTTGCAGTTCGTTATTGGTCGGGTAAACAAAGGGACCGGTGTACAAGTGGTAGAATCCTGGAACTTCATCAAGTAGCATCATCAAAAGAGCGAAATTTTATCGAAGTATTGCATCAATTGAGTGGTGAAGAGCACTGGAGTGATATTGTTTCGTTCTTTCTTAGGTTAGTCCATTGTATGATTGCATGTGACTTCTCGTATCGGCATAGTAAGTCGTCGTGGATTGTTGGTGTTTTGACGGCTTTTCCTAAAAGAATTATGGGTAATTGTTTTTTTTTAGGAAGATGATAACATCATTGATGAAAACGCGTCCTGTTTCCGTTGCACAGCATGGCCTCAATGTTCGATGTGTCCTCCTGTGTACTCGAATACTGCTGCAAGTAAGCACTACATAAGAGCGTTCATTATACAAGTAGTGGAGTAAGTAGAATACCCTTAATCAGTATCTGTAGTAAATTTTTTGGATCTGTTTCTTAAATGAATGAATTGATAGTATAATGGAGTAGTTTATAATTTATGGGGTAATTTATAATGGGGAATTTATAATTTAGGATGGCTCAAACAATGAAGTGTTCGAAAAGGTGGAAAACTTATTGCAACGCTTAATAGAACGGGATTCATCTGATAGAGTTGTACCGATGATGTGTTATTCGGTTGCAATTGTTCCCGAAATTGTTGATAAACTACTATTTGAAAAGAATGAGCAGTATGAGCCCGTGCGTCGTGTGATGTCTGTACATCTTGCTTCAAGAGTAAATTTTATCTGAACATAAGTTCATTTTAGATTTGATCTACAGAATAATTTCTTGAATACGTTTCATTGCCAAGGTATCCATTATGAGGCGGGAAATCTAGAATTATTTCAACTAAAAGTGATAGGAATTAATCTGTAGAAATTTAGAACTAACTGAATCTGAATGACTCATAATTATTTTGGTGCTTGTTTGAGGAGGAATTAAATGAAACATATAGAACTCTTGGTATTTTTCCATGTTGCTATTAAAACAGTAGGTATTAATATTATAATGAAAGCATTATAGAAACTCTTCACTTTCTTTTGAAGCTTGCTCAAAATTTGTTAAATTGTTCTATTGTTTCACTTTTAGGATGAGCTTTTAACAATATTCAATAAAGTCATTATGTCACGTCTTCTCAAGAATAGTACGCATAGCGACACATGTTTGCAAAAACTTGATACTGATAGTTTCCATCGTTGGTTTGCTGAATCTATCAATATGGTTGTAACGGACATACATGGCCTGGATTTGGAAACTATGGAGGTATCGATTCTAATTTTCGTATTTGCCTACATTTGTGCAGTTTATATCCTCATTTTTGCCTCTGAATAGTGCTCTCATTTCTCCATTTTTAATTTAAATTGTTTCTTTTGATATTCCGATTTTCGTCTTTTTTAAACAACTTGATTTTCATTTTTTTCTTTTTTCAGTTGAGCCCCAGAATTTCATCAGCAGTAATGACGTGTTATGCATTATTCAGTCTAGCTACAGATCGCTTAATTCCTGATAAGGAGGCTGTAGTATTTCCAGTTCTAAATGAATGTATCCAGATAATATCGGGTTACTTTGAAAGTGAAAAAGAGGTTTTTTTTTCGCCAGAATTACAAATTATTTTTAGTTCTTGAGAATAAATTTTCCTTTTTTTTTGTACTTCTTTCTACAAACATTTCGATCCAAGTTTGGCATTTCTCCACTTTTTATGTATTAGAAATTTTTGGAACAGCAATTTATAGAAGATGACTTTATTTAAGGGAAGAAATAAGATGTCTAGCGATTCAGCGGGACTACATTCGCTGCCGGATTATATGTTTGTAAAGACAATGTTACGTCTTTTACTCTTTGGACGCCTGATAACATCATTTGTTAAAAGCACAGAGTGCTGCATATTTCCACGAATAGCAAATTTGGTTGAAGAAATTTATAAATTACGAGAGTTCGCAAAACGAAAATTGGAGCAGGTACTAAATGAGTTCAAACTGCATCCAGTTAATAAATTGAATTTTAGGATAGCTCTGGAGAA